TCTGTCTGTCTGTCTGTCTGTGTGGTGATGCTGCTACGGCTATGGCAAGGGCGCTCAAAAGGAGTGCTTAATTCAATGACGTCGTGAATCATCTGTCAGATCTTGAAGGCACGGGTATTATTCTTACTTAGTCTCAGTGCGTGTAAGCATCTTCGGCCTCACTCGGGTCTCGAAGCTCAAAGAAAACTCTGTGTTTCAGCGTGACTCATGAATCTACAAAGTGCAGAGTAAGCTGCACAGCCTGTGAAAGCGCACAGGTCTCAACACAAACAATTGCTGGGGGCGCAACTTGCCAGGAAACACCTTGCACCACCGCTCAGCTCTGATTTCAATATGAGATAAGCAGACTGGTGTGTGTGTGTGTGTTTGACAAACTTGCATACGTGCACTGCCGAAACTACAACAGCGTAAATCTGTCTGATCCTTACCTTACATGCCGTACATAGCGCCAACATCTATTATATGCGCGCTGCATGCGTGGCATACGGTGCTGCTTGAAGAGCAAGTTAACCCGTTAACTCATGGACCAAGATGCTACGAGGCTTGTTATGTGGCCCCATCGTGGCTGTTCGTGTGGTGCATCTACCTGCTTCCTGAAATACGGATGCAGCTTGGGAAGATCGTTCTGACTGCAAACCCAGCAGTGCCCGATCTCTCAACCCCAGCTTTGATCCTGATAGCCTGACAGAAAGGGATGCCACCAGCGCCTGGTTTTGTAGGTCGGAAGGGTGTCGCAACGTTAGAGAAGGCGCGGAATCCCATATCACTAAAGGTTTGGTCAGGGTCTGCCTAACTCACCACTCAAGGAGTCCGTATGGTTTTCCTCAGAAAGGCCAGAGGATCTATTTGCGAAGGTGTCTGTAGTAGAATCTAAAGGCTTCCATGTGGTCTTCTTATAAGGCAGCCGGAGGATCGTGCTATGGTTTTCTTGAGAAAACCTAGAGGATTTCCGCTGGTCTTCCCATTCAAAAAAAACGATTAGCGATGTTCTCATAGGGATTCCTCAAGAAATTTGGTTTTCCTAGGGAAAGTTAGCAGAGCGGTTAAGTCTAAACGCCAAAAATTCGAATTTACGCGCTGGCTAACATTTGGTCAACAAAGAATCTCACAAGTCAGAAGTACAAACACATATCTACAACAGCCTTCCAGTAATCGAATGAACTGGCCGGACAAAAACTCGATCTTGAAACTCGATTTTCGCTAGTTGCAGCGATCGTAGAACTACAGTAAGTTTTTGCCCTTGGCTTAGCTGTCAGATTTGCTGGTCCAACTAGCAGGCCTTCCGTGGTGGTTTGCGATGTCGTGGATGTCGTGGACATCTGCGTTGATGATTGCCTTGCTGGGTCCTGACAAACGGAGGCTGTTGAGTCTCGCACGACTTGTTTGGACAGCACTTCTCTCTGCGATTACTTGCGAACTTCTGGCGGCGCGAGGCTTCCCTCTTGCGAGTTTAGGCTCCACAGCCATCTAGTACCACATCGCGAGCTGCAGGCGTCTGGCATAGCTACCGATAAGCGCTAGCCATTGAGAGGCATGTCCGGCGCCTGGACGCCGCTTGTGATGTTGGTGCCGCCAACCCCAACAGTCGTGGCTGTCGTGGTGGTCAAAGTGGAGGTGGCCTGCACAAGGATCTTGTGAAACCGCGCCTGCTGGGAAAGCACGCGGCCTCTGTCGCGGTGCCGCCAGTGGGCCCATTTACCGTGGTCTGCGCAGGGACACTCACGGACTCGGACTCACGCATGCAAGATGACCGGCCTCAGAGCCGGTGGTCGCGGTTGTGGTCGTGGTTGTCGTCGTAGTTGTGGTGGAGGTACTGGTCGTACTCGTGGTTACCTGGCCGGGTCTCATGCCTTGATCGCAGATTACTAGATTACTTAGCATGCGTCTCCCTTGTGCTTTGGGGGGGTGGGGGGGGGGGGGNNGGCCAAGCCCACGCGTCTGCGCAGCATGAATCGCACATCGCAAGCCAGGCAGTTGCCGAACCCCGGCCAACTCCTTCAATGCTGCAAGAAGCTACAATCTAGACGACACTCCCACTCGGAAAAGGCAGCAGCAGCAAATTGGTGCGGCTCCTTTGAAGTTTTAAAGCTTGCAAACGTTGTGGGCCATCTTTGCAGCGCTAGCAAGCCTGTCATGGTCTACCCTGCTTTTTTTGTTTCATCGACCAATCAATTCCCATCACATCCTTTCTGATGACTCTTGGCCTCGAGATGCATCGAGGACGAGCTTTTCTGTTGGATACTTGTTTGCATCAAAGGCGGTAAACCCTCGTCTGAGATTCCACCCGCGCCTGGAAGCTCATGAGGAACACATCCTCGCCGCCGGCGTTGGGGCGGCCATCTATGGAGCCAGTGGTGTAGCCCGCGAGGACCAGGCTGTCGTTGTTCATCTGAGAGGGCAACTTTCCACTTCCGATGCCGACTTGAATAGCTTTGGGTCCCAAGGCGTCGCTGACGCGCATCGCAGCTCGATCTTTCTTTTTGAGCTACAGTAGCACCCTCACGATTCCTCACACCTTTACACCTCTTCGCCATTCAGCGAGCCCCGATCTCAGGGACTGCTCCAACTGAGAGTTCACTAGTGACAGGGATCATATGGCATCAATCGGATTGTTCGCTGTTCGACATGATGCGCATGTCCCGCTACCCGGAGCCTCTGTCCCCTTTTTTGACGCCTTCCCTGCCTCCAGGCCAGTGACCCGCTCATCGCCGGGGCCACCGTGCAGGGTGGTCCAGCTCCAGGCGCCTGTGCTGGTGAAGCCCATGAGGAACACGTCACGCTGGCCGATGATCGAGTGGCCATCGATGGAGCCAGAGGTGTCGCCCGCGACGAGCAGGCTGCCGTCGGTGTCCACCTGCCGACTAAATCCTAAGAAATCCTATAAGTCTCCCCCAAACTCTTCCGCTCCGCAGCCTTGAGAGCCAGAGCGCGGTCGTTAGAGGAGCCACCGCGCTGGGCCGTCCAGCGCCAGGAGCCACCGCTGGTGAAGCTCATGATGAACATGTCCTGGGAACCGGCATTCCAGTTGCCGTCGAGGTTGCTGCTGGTGTAGCCTGCCAAGTACAGATTGCCGTCGCTGCCCACCTGGCCAAAGAGAAACCCTTCCGGGGAAAGTCCATACTCTCAACTCACTTCCCACTTGCAGAACTGTTGAGGTTGAGTTCAAGGAGCTCGTCACCGCTGCTCTTCAGCGGGCGCTTGGGCCCTTGGACGCTTCCGACAGCAGAAGCCGGCCACTCCTAGATTGAATAGACGATCCATATAGTCCTACCTGTTCTCAACCTGCTTCTCTACAGTACCAGTCTTGATCTTCCTTGGATGGATCTGCCCGGCCGCAAATGGTGGCTCAATCTGCCTGGCCGTTTGAGCTCTTCATGCCTCTGCCTCTGTGCCTGTCCGGCTGCGCTCCGCATCCACCATGAGCAACCAGAAAAGCCGTGCTCCGGTCTCCCAACTTCCTGCCTCCCTATTAAAAGCACTCTTCAACCCGCTTTACCAACGCCTTGATCCGCCGACCCCAGGTGCGAGCGAGTTATCCCTCGGAGCAACGTTTGTGACTTTTCTTCCCCTCCACTGGGGCTCTCCCTTTTGCACCCTCAAGCTCAGAAACATTCAGAAACCTGAATGCAAGGGTGTCAATGTTTCGTTAATTTTCGTTTCATGGGCCCCGGGCTCTGCGAAGCTCTGCCAAGGCCTGTTTGTTCCGCGAAGAAAACGTTGCGAAGCTGGGCTCATGGCTGGGAATGGGATGGGGAAGCACAGGAGGGAGATAGCGGCCATCCCTGAAGTTTTTTCTTGTTTCAACATTTGCCCAGGACAAACCCTGGCGCTCCCCCCTTCCGGCTGCATTGCCCATCCTCCAAATCACTGGCCCAATCGCTTCTGGATCCACCGCGCAGGGCCAACCAGCGCCAGGAGCCAGTGTTTGTGAAGCTCATCAGGCAAATGTCGTAGCTGCCCGCGTTGCTGTGGCCACTGAAAGAGCTGGAGGTCTGGCCCAGCACGACCGGGTTGCCGTCTTTGTCCACCTAGCAGGTCCAACAGCTTTGGAAGGCCCGATGATCACCCAAGGCTCGATCCCAAGTCCTCACTTCCAGAACTCCTTCAAGCTTCCTCCGCCCTTCCTAAACCTCAACTTCAGTCACATTCCGCTAGATGATCTGCTGAAGCTCCTGGGGGCCTAGGGCCTGAACACCTTAGCGTCTCTGTGCATTTTGCCGCCCCCGTCTGCGCATGCACGCCACGGCATTGCAGTTCCTAGTAAATCCGCCCACGGGAGGGGGGGGTGGTGCCGAGCTTGTTTAAATCCCCACTATGGCCTTTCCTCCCGTGATATGACCTTCAGTAGTCGACTATACCTCACCTCCACACTTCGACTTTACTTCACCTCCACAGAGCTACCCCTGTCATGGCGTTCAATGGAATATACAGCTACTTCAGTGACATACACACATCTCCAAGCAACGGCCTGTTCATCTCAGATATCAGATCTCAGAGGGCGGGAGTTTCTTGATGTCATGCTACTACGGTTTCGAGAAGGGGTGGGCTTACCTCACTTCTACGCAATGCTTCCCTCCTCTCTCGTGTTTCTTTATTCAGGAGGTTCGTTCCACTCTGCGGCTTTTATCTCACGTTCCCCCGCACATGCAACCCTCACAGCGCTCCCCAGTATTCGTTCGTGGAAATGACTTCTATTGTCCGCGCAATCACAGCTTGGCAAACGCATCGACCATTATCTCACTTCCACACAGTGGACGGAGGGACCGAGGGCACCTTCTTGCATGTTACAAAGGCCCCTTGACCTCAAGCTCTCTCAAGAAGCGCCTCCAAAGCCGCGGCCGTGTCGTCATCGGTGCCACCGCGCTGGGCTGTCCATCTCCATGAGCCGGTGCTTGTGAAGCTCATGACGAAAATGTCCCAACTGCCAGCGTTGCTGTGACCGTCGAGCGAGTCATAGGTGTTACCAGCGACAAGCAAGTTGCCATTGTTGTCCACCTGATCGGAGGGGCAAGGGCCTGACCCTGAACGTGTCCCGATGGCCTCCCACATCAGCTAGATTTGTGGAACCGTCCGGGGTCTTAAGTATCAGTGTAACAGCTTCGCGGCTGCTGTGGGCGATGCCACAGACATCCGCTTCCACCTTCCACAGCTCTGCCAAAGCTGCAATTGGGGTTGACCCGGTACAAAAAACCAAGACCGCGAGCCAGTGCTGGAAAAAGAGCAGCAAAAGGACAAGGAGCAGCAGCAGCAGCAGCAGACCCTAAACCCTGAATCCAACACCCAAAACCCTAAACCACGAGTATCTTCCCAGACAGTGAACTGGTCACAGGTCTGAGATTGCCATTTCAGCAACCTGGCCTTGTCCTTTTGGTTATATTTTCGTTATCGTCTTGGGCCATGACGCAGATTTTCACCAACAGTGAAAATAGCCAAGGCACACGAACAGACTTGAGCTACAGGCGCCGGTTTCGGACGCCGGCCGGAACATCCTTCACTGTCTGTCAGTACAAGTTCAATACTGGAATAATCGGTTGCGGACCAGAACGTCGCTCATTGTCAGTACAAGCTTAGTACTGGAGTCGTCGGTTCCGGACGACGGCCGTAACGTCGTTCATTTTCAGTACAAGTTTAGTGCTGGAAGCGTCAGTTCCGGATGCAGAGTGTCTTTACGTGTCAGTCCAAGCTCAGAAATGGAATCGCCTTTTTCCGGATTGGTTTAGCTTATCCTTGACTAACCTTATGGCTTTTTCTTCTTGTCGTTTCCAAACAACCGCAAGGTTTTCACAACAGGGGGCGGGCGACGACTCCATCGAAAGGAGCGGGGTTTTCATACAGCAGAGCCCTGACTTGTCAACTGCCCGGCCTGGAGGGCCACAGCCTGGTCACTACTGGAGCTGCCGCGCTGGACCGTCCAGCTCCAGGAGCCTGCGCTCGTGAAGCTCATAAGGAAAATGTCTCTGTGGCCGGGGTAGGAGGCGGTTCTCGTCTGCCCGTCCAGGGCGTTCTGGGTTTGGCCCGCGACGACCAAGTTGCCGCCATGGTCCACCTGACGTCTAGAGCTTTGTTGCGGCCCGTTGGTTGAAGAGCTTGACCCGGAACATCAAATACAACACCCTCACTGCCAGCAATGCCTAGGGCCTAAGTTCTGGGAACCTCTCCTTAACCGCAGCCTCGACCCTTAAGCTTCCGCTGGCAGGATAAATTTTGTTGAGACATCCAGGGCAATTCACGGCTCAAATCTGTTACCGGCCAGGGCTGGGCGCTGGGGATAAACTGGCTTTTGCCCGGCTGTAGTCACTTTCCAGGTTCCTGGGCAAGCCCTCATTCTGAGCTGGGTGATTCCTCCACTGCTCATGGAAAGCTCGAAGTCTTCCAGGATGGGATAGATATGATATGAGTATGAGTATGGATGAGTCCTTCCCCTTCGCTGCGTTCCCTTACCCGCAAAAGCCCTCTCGGCCCTGCCTTGACAGCTACAGCCTGATCCTCGCCGACGTTGACACCTCCCTGAAGATGCTCGGGATCACCGCGCCGGGTCGTCCAGCTCCAGGAACCTGCCTTGGTAAAGCTCATCAGGAGCAGGTCCTGAGTGGAACTCGACATATAGCTCATGGTGGAGTCACTGATGTAGCCCGCGACAAGCAAGTTGCCGTTGTTGTCCACCTCACCGCAGGGATAAGAGCCCCGACCCTGAACATTCCCCGAAGGCCTTCCCCCCAGTCCTTCCGACTTCCTCCTCCCATCCTCGACCTTGAACTTCTACATCTCTCCACATCCGCAGCCAGTTAGATCTGTTGACACATCGGTCTCAAACTGTTGCGGAGCAGGGCTCCGTCGCCTAGATTCCCCCCCTTACTGCAAGGCCCTTCCGGCCCATGCCCGGCCTCCAAAGCCATGGCCACATCGTCGCCGGAACTGCCGTGAACGGCGGTCCAGCTCCAGCTCCAGGCCCCGGTGCCGTCGACGACCGAGAAAATCGCCGAGAACAGCGCGGCCAGCATGGCGAGACTCGGGCTACTAAGCAGGACCCGGAGTGCGGTGGGGGCAACGACTCCACAGCTGAAGCCGCAGAACTGCCGCACACGCACTGCCGGGCGAGCTTCCACGGGATGGCAACGTACATTATTCCCTTCACCCCGAACGCAAGAAGCCCCAATAGTGTTATCGGGAACAACATCTTAACACGGCCCGTCGGCCCATCACTCTACCTTGCACATCACACAAAAGTGGACATGAAGCTCAAACTCCCGCTCTTTAACGCATGCTTGGTACTCCCTGCAGGGCTCCCAGCAGCCCGAAATCCTCCTCAGGGCTTCGGAACTCCAGCGTGTGCTTCACAATTCCTGGGGATGAGAGCTTTGAGGACTCCTAGGTTTCATCCGGGCTGGGGTCGCAGCTTAGGGCAACTATGAGCTTCTGAAGCTGAGCGGCTGCCATTCCATGGGTCGAGCTCGTAGACAGAATTTAGGTCCACGATTCGCTCGGAGGGTTCGTTGGCTGTCTCTTGAGACGAGGCCCACTCTTCAGCTTGGCCAAGGAAGTTGGTGCCTGCCTGAAAAAGGTCTGTCTTACCCCAAGGCGCATTCTGAAAATTTTGCAGGGCTCCTCGGGCCGCTTGCACCGCACTGCGGGCCTGCTCCTTGCCCAATACATCTCTGGGTTTCATGACGAGGCGCCAGCGAACGCGCAGGTACAAGCCGGAGTGCACCACATTAGTAACCTCACTTCTTGCAGAAGTGCTGATTAGCTCGGTGCCTTGACGAAAGTTGTCCCAGAACTGGCCGTACTGCATGGAACCCACGAAGCGCAGACCGCTTAGCTGAGCAATCTCCAGAGAAATCCCAGGGTCAGCCACACTGGCTCCCGGTGCGATGCCCGGCAGCCGCGCGTGGTCGCTTCGAACAGTGTCTATTGCTTGGCCAACATTGGCCGCGAAGTTTGGGTCCGCCTGCGCCCGACGGACAGTCAAAGGGCCTCCAGAGCACCAACGACCGGGGCTCTCTGCTACCGACACTCGGTGGCATACCCCGGTCGAAAAAACTTGCGCAAACGGTGGGCTCGCACATTGGTTGTTTGCATGCCAGATAGAACATAGGACTGCAAGCTTGCAGAGTCTGCCTTGCAAGTTCTGCGACATTTGGAACTCCCGCGACTGAGCCGTGAAGGAACGATTCACTGGCTAGCGGCTAGTCTGCTCCCGTCTGGCAAACGTTATGATCTTATCCAAAAATACGAAGCTGTACTGAGAGCTTGGCAGAACCGGCAGTAGAGTTTGTCAGACGATGCTGCTCCCCGTTAGTTTGCCTAACATCCCACTCGCTCCATCTCGTTGGAAGTCCAGAGGACGCCTCTGATCTTCATGGCTACAGCAAGGCAGAAGTAAACTCCACGAGCTGAGTGCCAAAGAGCTCTCAGCAGTACATGCGTCATAAGCCTTATGGCCATTGGGGATACTTTTAAAACGCGTTCCTTCTTGCACAACGGCACCTGGAATGCCCTCCCAGGGTCCCATGTTCCATCCTGTACAATCATCGATGAAGCACCTCGAAACCTTGTGGTTGAGGCCCCACTACTAGTAGCCTTCAGCTTTGCAAACTCCGTCGCCCTGCATTATCAGTCATGAACTGCTCATCAGCTTCAGATCCAAAGGGCGCTCGCAGGCTGCACCGCATCTTAGATGCTCGCAACGGCAACTCTCAGACAGCCCGACTGGGCCTCTAATTAAAACTTGAAGGTCTTCAATGTCTGCCAAAGGTGTCACGGTCTCCACTGCCTGCACAGTCAAGGACTTGTGCCAGCCAGGCGATCTCAAAAGCGGCGAATGTGCCCCGGACTTGCAGGAAGGGCAACGCGCCTGTTGACCAGGTCTTCACCTTAGGAATGCCAGGCTCAGGTGTGGTTGATTGAATCAACAGCTGTGCCGACGACCGATGGTGGCTGCAAAGAACTGTGTCCGCATCTCCTGGTCGTGCACCTTTCCCATTTCCGGGCAGATTGACCTGTTCATCCTCAGCGGTCTTCGATCCTTGCCTGATGGAGGATGTGCTCCGCCCATCTGTCAGGATCCTCATGCCGCGGCAACGGCTTAGGATGTGGCCTGCAGAACGAGCCACACAGGACTAATCTGTGATGTCGCTTCTGCTCCGAATGCATCCAGGCTGCATCAGGTTCGGCATGAGCACATCCCAACCTGGATGAGCTTCGAGTTTTGCCGCTGCTTCGCTTCGTGCTGGCGAAACCTACTCAATCCGCCGAGCTCTCAGCCATATCTGCGAGTAACGTGCACTGACTTGAGCAGCTGTGAGTACTCTTCAGACAGATGCTCCCTCAGTACGAGCTGAAGAGCATCAGTGTCTCAGGCGCTGCGTTGCGGTTCGCAAATGGCTCCGAAAGAGCTGCCATCCGAGGCACTGAATCGCCTTCAGGAGAGCGCTGGGCAGCAGCCGCATGTCCGAAGCTTTCACGAACCAAACCTCGCGCCGGTGGAATCCAGTGAGTCCACGAAGCGATGATCCAATGCGGTGCCTCGCAGGTGGTGGCCGCCACTGCCGAAAGTGGCTCCAGTGCATTGATCCAGGACCCAAACCTTTCGATCTGGCACAACCCGAGACTGCGACAACAGCGCTGCAGTCGCAAGCTTTGAAGCAGGCTTGGCTTCGTGCAGTTGCCCGGGAAGCAGCGTTTGACAAGTTTCAGCTCCATGGTCCTGCACATTTCCCGGTGGTACGAACCAGGAACAGAAACATCGCCGGGCCGTCAGCCTTCTCTTGCTTCAGATGTACATTGCCTTAAAACGGGGCTGAGACATTCTGAGACCAGACCACATTCACTGCTGCACCTCTGTAGATCACGTAGATCACCCGCGAATCCTTTCAAAACAGGGCTGCCGTCCCATGCTTGACTGACTCAGGCTACACGTACCAGGTCCACGGCCCTCTCGCCCTGCTTCAAAAAAATGAAGTCCTGGCAAATACAAACAATGCGTGTTCATCACTCGACTCCCTGCTGATCACTGCTGCTGATCCTGATCAACCTTCAATTTGTTGAAGAAGAAGCTGGGATGTGGAGGATCATTGGGGCCTTCCACACGGCTGGTCTCTGTCAAAAGCTTGGAGGCGGCAACAGCCCTCTTCGACACACAGCGCACCATACTCGGGCTTTAGTTCCGGCTGCTCTGTCTGCACTCTTCCGGCCTGGCTCCGGAAAAGCCTCGCGGCTTCGAGTGAAAATGATGGAAATCGAAAGGGGTTCTGCTGGAAATGACCAAGTCCAAGTGCCTTCATGCCCGGGACGAAGCGGTTCAGAAACTTCTTCTTTGCCTTCACGGCAACTGCTCCCAAGCGTGTCCCCCCAAGCAGCCTGGGCCACAGCCTCCTGAAGCTGAATCAGGCGATCCTGCGAGGGTTGTTTACGTGGCAAGTGAAAGAAGCTCTCATTATGTTGGGTGACCTTGGCAATCTTGAAGGCGCTGGCGGGCAGCAGCAGGAACTCACCTGGGGAGATCTGGCGCTCACGAGGTCAGTGACCATGATTCTGTCAAGGTGCAGTTCGTCAGGCAGGTGGCAGCTGCCTGGCTTGAGCCCTCCGACTCCGACTTACTCCTCCCCCTCGCTTCGAAGCCGGCCTTTCTGGTGGCGTCCTTGTGCATCAGGGCCAGCCTGGGGGTGGTTTTGGTCGCGTCACCCGCATCTGTCCTGCGCCCTGCGCGTCTGCCCGACTCTTATTGGCCCAAGTGGCTCGCCGAAGACGGCGCCGCTCCGTGCCTTGCCGACACACTTCTCCAAGTCGCTTTGCAAGGACGTCGTGCTGACACCGTCCAGCGTCCTCACCTCGAAAGCTGCACTTCAGAGAAGGTCCTTCCCTCGGGCGGATGAGGTGCGAGCTCGAGCCGACTCTTCCCAGGGCAGTGGAACGTGCCTGCAGGCTGGAACTCTGACACAAAGGTCCCGAGTCTCGCGACTGTTCTGCCAAAGTTCACATCCTCGAAGCCTGCGCTGACGGGCAATCGTGGGGTATCTTGATTTCCTGAACCTGGCGCAGTGTGCGCGGCTGCAACGAAACAGACAGATTGCAACTGAAGCACAACTTCACCTGGTGACTAGGCACCTGCTCTGCACACGCACGCCACGAATGCTATCGTAGCTACGAGTACGTATACACGATACGCTCCAAATGGAACTGTGAGCCATAAACCCCCGGCCTATGAAGAAGGCCACCTCCCAGCAGTCACCGAAGCAGCTGTTTTCATTCTCTTATGAACCAGAGGATCTTACAGTGGATCTGCGACGCGACTTACACTCCATGCGGACTTGCGCAGCCAAACCGCTGGCCTCTCCCCTGACGATCAGCCAGCAATGGGCCTGGGCGGGGGGGAAGCGGCAGACCAAGCGCTTCAAAGCATCGGCACAATCCAAGCTACCAGGATGTACTGCATCATTCATCTTAATCTTAGTATCTTTAACCTTAACATCAAAATTGAGAAATAGCATCACTAATAGTAATGAGTCTAACAGAGTAGAATAGCATAGAATAAATTAGAATAGAATAGCATAGAATAGGAGAGTCTAAAGAGGAAAGGAACTGACTAGAATGTAACCTAACTTAACCTAATCTCATGTCATGTAACCGAGAACTCAGCAGCTAATTCTGCGGGCAGCGCAAAGCATATAACCGAGGATAATATGAGATGATGAGATGGGACATTAAACCCATCATGACATGACATGATATGAAATAATACGGCATGTTTCGAGACAGTGATATGAAAAGTTGTCACATGATACGAAATCATCCGAGACAAGAGGATATGATGTGAACTTGATAGTATCACATGCTATAAAGCAATCTTGCATAGTATATGATTGGGTAGGTTATACCATATAACATACGGTAAAGCACTGTAAAACAAGATAATACGCTAAAGCATATCATGTATGAATGCAACCTATAGTATATCATATGATAAGGTTCCTCATGTAGTACCAAAAAAGTTAGACACAACATGAAACGCTATATAAGTCTACACTGCATTGCTACAACATGCAAAACACCATGGTACATGGTGCATACTATATAATAATCTAGTATAAATGACAGAATAAGTATAGTACGATATAACACTAAGATGTACAATATCACAACATCTCATACCATACCATGTCAACTGGTAATATACAATATACTATAATGCAACATCATGTAATGTAAGGAAACAAAGTATGATATTTGCATATACGATTAAAAATATGATAAACTAGAGTAAAACATTACATGTGATAATATTGTTATCATGCAAATGTAGCATAACAAATGCTATCTTACCATATAACCTATTGTAAATCATTTATCTATATGTATATATATATATATATGCATCATATATATATATATATAGACATACGGGTATATGACATACTGCAATATCAATATATATATATATGCATACATACATACATACATACATACATACACACATAAATGCATGTATGTATGTATGTATGTGTGCATATATATATATATATATATAGTGTACTACAAGTTATAATACGACCTCTCGTATGTATTTGTATATGTACATGTACATGTATATGTATATGTCTGTGTTTGTAATGGTATATGATCTATAGACCATATACCATATACCATGCAATATTAATATGATAGATGTAATGTGTGTAAGGAAGTCTGGAAACATGATACAAGAAAGAATACCATGCACAAAATAGTATGTATAATATAGGCTGTACATTATACTAAAATCTAACATGCAATATACGGCGCCGACAATATACGACACTGAAAATGTAATGTAAACGTGCGCTATATCATACATAGATGAAGTATGGTTGTATGTGTTCTATGATATAGGTCTGTACAACCTGCTTCCGCTCTGTATGGAACACAGAATACAAAACACTGAATACGGAACATAGGTTATCGAACGTACAAGTATAATGCATGAGAACCTACTATATAACAATTTTGGGCAGTTACATAGGCTAACAGCTAATTCTAGTCCAACCCAGCAACATGTAACAACGCAATAACATGACTCGCTGCGGTCGCTCGGTGTCTTGCCGGAGGATCCCCCTGGCGGAAGACGACTGCACCTTTCGGAGCCTGCCACACACGGAATTGTTTTCACGATACGTGGCCCATCCTCCCATCCTCCAAGAAAGAAGCCATCCGAGGAAGCTCCGCCAAGACTTCAGGTTCCAGACTTCTGAAGAAGCTGCTGCGCTGCCTTGGGACGAGTTTAGACTCACGCAAGTCTCAAGAACGGTCCCACGAACCAAACAAGGATTAGACTGATAAAGCCTAAGCCTGGGACAGCAAGGCAAAGGCTCGCTCCTCCTCCTCGGTTGTGATCGCCTCTTTCTCGAGCTCATATACCATGGTAGCCTCCTGGAGGTGAACCAAAGATCGGAGATCCAGCACAGGATAGCACAGGTTTGAATGTCTTTTCTCTTCCATCCATGGGGCATGAGGGGCATGTGAATCAGTGAAACCCCCCGGCCACTAGGGCCCCATATTTGTTACGGCTACGGGGTTCCGAGGATGTCTCTCTCTCTCTCTCTCTCTACCAGGCTTGGGGCTTGGGGTTGGTCGGACCCCTCACCCCGCACGCGTCTCTCTCTCTCTCTCTCTCTCACTCTCTCTGCAGGGTTATGGGCAAGAGGGAGTAACCCCGCTTGCCCGCGCGCCGTTGGCGCCCCCGACCATTGCGGAGGACTTTGGTGAGATCGCTCTCGACACGAAGGCAAGTTTAGCCCCCGGCGTTACTTCGCGCACTCATCCGAGGATGTGTTTTTCTCTCTCTCTCTCTCTTTCTCTGCACGCTCCCACTCGCTTCGTATGGCGAGCACGTCACGCCGTGCAAAACACTGCCATGTGTGCACGCACGAGGCCAACTGCTGAATAGAAGACACCGCGTCAGACGTTCACAGACTTGGCACCCTCACAAGCCCCGAGCCCTGCACCATGCACCTTTCCTGCTTGGCCTCATTGTTTCTGTCCGTCGAGCTTCGCCGGTGTTGGGCTGGGACCGTTTCGAAGCCTTACTTGTCTCGACTGCAGTTCCCGACAGGTCAGGTACCGACAGGTGAGGCTGCCACTCCGCACTATCGGAACGGTTCCTGCAAGGCGTTTCCAGCCCGTCGCGGACAGGCTGCCACGGTTTTCCATCCTCTTGTTGTTGCATGAACCGAAGTACGCTTGAGCTCCCGAGTCCTGCATTGGCCCAGGCCTCGCAACAGCTCGAATCTGTCACGCTCAAGAACCGCTGAGAGAGGCAGCCCCGTCGGATCCCAGCTTTACCAGGCTGCTTGGAGCCACTCCGCGACTGGCCAACCGGCAGCCTCGGGCGACGGCATCAGTCGAGCCACTCCTTGCGAAAACTGCCCAAGCGTTTCGAACGAACTCTCTCCCTGTGCTTTCACCAAGAAAAAGAGTGCAAACAGACAGCGCACTCGTGGTCTAAGTTTCGCAGCTCTTGAGTAAGCCTCTGTTACAGTTGAAGTTGCTGTCGCGAGACGGGCTCTCGAGGGCACGCTCACAACATGAGGCTAGCGCGGAGACAACGTCCAGGTGCCAAGGGCCTCCGAGGTTTGAAGGATCGCGAGAAATGGGCAGAAGTAGAAGGGAGTTGTGATCCAATACCAAGTAGTTGATTGTCGGATTTCTGGAACTAATGGTGCCTCGTCTGTCTCCGGCATTAAAGCAACCGCCGTGGCAGACATGTTGTCTGTCTTGGAAACTGCCGTGCGGGGCAAGGTATGAGCAGTCAAAACCTTTAAAGAATGAGAGAGGCAGACCGGAGGCAACGATTACCCGCATGCACTGACACAAGGCACATGCCCAGGGGATGTGTGCAACGAAGGAAATGATGTGTCCAAGACTGTGGAAGGAGTGGGGCCCGACACACTGTGGCATGAGTACGCATATGTCTGACATGGTGAAACCGTCGGCGCTCCTCGCCCATCCCTCCAATGGCATGGTCCCGTTGGCGCCTTGGAGAAGTTCATCGAGCCGGTGCTCCGGGATCCTGGGAGCTTCAGACGATTGAGGGATCTTGCAGTACATTGGTTGGCTCAGAGCAAGCCCAAGCGGCCAGTCAGTACATCTTGGTCTTGAAGCTTCCTCGTCCCCCTTTTGCCCGGCCGTGCGGTGGCCTCGCAGCCCCAAGAGAAACTCGGGAGAGAGTCGGGGACCAACTCCAATGGCATTGACTGGCGTGCTGGGAGCGTCGGTCTTTGATGCGGCTCCACAGTTAAAGCTTACTCGACTGCCTTCCCTTCCCTATGCCCTTCCGTGCTGGCCTCAGAAGAGCAGGGGCGCAAAGATTGCAGCACCGGGGCATCTGAGCCAGGCGGTTTGGGGCGGTGTCATTCGCAGAGACCGCGTGTTTCTCACTTGGGCACCAACTCCTTCGACGAAAGCAGTCCTCCCAAGGCTAAAGCGCGGCACCGTTCCGTCTGCATCAATCTTTCCGAAGCCCGCTGTCATTCCTGCGGAGTTGTGGCTGGGAACTCATGGGATTTCTTCTGCACCTCGACTAACCTTGGCTGGCCATCCGTTATTGCAACATGGCAAGCTGCATGGGAACCAGTGAAAGGGCCGGGCCGGCATTGATAGTAGACTTGGTACGTGTCGTTCTGCACAGATGTCAGCGTACAAGGACACGACAGGGGCAATGGAAATCCCCAATCATGCTAGGGATGCCAGAATCTCAGCTTTCACCATGAGGGTCGGGACATTGCGGCCACTGTCTCATGCGAAACAAGTCGCATAGAAATCATAGAACAGCTCACTCACGTTCCAATCGTCGAGTTCGCTTCCCAGCTGCAACTAGACGATGTACTTGCTACCGACGTCGAAGACATAGAGTTGCGTAATGTTGCGTAGTTGCTTGTCGGATCTTGGCTGCAGAGGCTGGGTCTTTCGCAGGCGTACTGCTTCTATTGGCAACTGTTGGCAGCTGAGCGTGCGGTGTGGGGATTCAATAGCCGAAGATGTGACAACCACAAGACTGTTGCAAGTGCCCGCACCCCAGCATCGCGCTGATTTGGTAAGTTGAGCTTGGTGTGGCACCTCACGTTCAAGTGAGACTCGCAAAAGATGCCATGAAGCCATCAGCCAGCAGCTCCATTGAGAGACTCCACTTGAATCCCTCTTGGCCACCGAGTGCTGTCTTACAAGCACTTTGCAGAGAACAACCTGGCAGTACATGGCGCAGCACAGAATGCAAATAAAGTCCACATCATCTAGCAATCGCCTAGGAATGAGGCCACCAGACTACCGCGAGGTGCCCCCTCAACTCTTTTCGTTAGACCGGGGCTTTGCCCACAATACAAGGAGAAGCTGTGCACCTGAAGAGTCGATGAATAACATTTTCCAGAATTTACTCCCCGTTCTCCTTCATCATCAGAGGTGCACAGCATCTTAGGTAGCAAAATACAGGCCCGCATACGGCTGCTAATTGCGACTGGCGTTGCGTCGGGGGAATTGCAAGCCCATGTTAGGACTACCAAGATGCCAAGTCTGGTGTATCGAAGACAACGCGTCGCACAAGTACCTGCAGTTCACTGCAGTTTCAGCCGGACTCTTGCTGAGCTGAAAGAGATTTAACACACAGCCGCGCAGGCATGCGCGGGCTGCGGCTTGCATGCCACACGCTTTGCGCGGTGGTACCGGAAGGACGGTGTGAGGTTCCAGTTGTCGAACACTGACTGCGGTTCAGAACTTCATTCAGACACAGATCCGAAAATGTGTTGACAACAGAGCCCCCGGTGAGATGAATGTAATTTACTGAACTGAGCAAAGCACAACTTTGCATGTAGGTATACCTAAAAGCTGTGCTGTGCTTTGCAAATTCTCAGAGACGACCACCTGGAGTGTTCCGTCGACGCCATCGTTTGGGATGGGCTTTCGGAATTCAGAAATTACTGTGGCATTGACACACTCCTCGGTAAGTCATGGGTGTGAAGCTCACTTAAAATTCAGGTCTGTGAAGGTTGGATTTCTGTAGATTGAATTTCCATCGCGAAGTCGCTCACGATGCCTTGACTGATTCCCAGGAAACAATTACCAAGTTGGCATGCGCACACACACACACACTCTACGGGAAATTAAGGTCAGCACAGGCAGTCGGACAGAAAACAGCTGCCTGCCATAAGTGCAACTTGCATGTGAGCGAGCACTCTGCTCGCCGCCGCAGTATGAGCTAAACACCTTTGTGGGCCGTTTTGGCATGCAGCAGGCTTCGTCTGCAAGTTGCTATCACACGCACTTCGGTGCTCTCGTTAGCATCTGCAGCCATCAAGCTGTGAGGGTGAGGGTCAAGAGGCTTGGAAAGCCACATTGCAAGCACGGCAAGATGGCTGCACATCCACCTTGCTGTCCGCGGTAAATAACTCTTGCCAAGCAAGCTCAAAATCACGGCCAGGAGAGGCGTGAAGTTCTACTTCTAGAATGCCACGGAGGGCTGGGACTTTCAGTTCAGCACGCCGATGACAAAGATGCAGCGCCAAACTTCAGTCTTCCGGATCCAAATACCGATTCTCTAGGTACCACACAGATTCCTTGTGATATTCTGCACGCAAGCCAGCAGCTTTATAGCTTTATGGCGCTTGGTGGCGCTTACAGGCATACTCCACACACTACAGCTCACTGCGGCTCACTCACCGGAATCCAAGCTGAAATCAAACCTGCAGGCTTACATGAGCTTTCACAGGCAAGTAATGGCCGGTGACAGAATACACGGATTGAGCCCAAAGCTTCTTCTTTCTTCTCAACTCCTCTTCCTCAGGGTCGTCCTGCAGGGATTCAGCGCCAACTTGACAAAGCGAAGGAGTAAGCTGGGTGCGAAGCCTTGGTGCAACAGAAGAGCATCACTATGACAATGAGCGGCGACAACGCCAGGACTATCTTGACCTTGGACTACAACAGGGAGCGAGTCATTGAGTCACACTAAGATCACTAAGGGACTTAGAAGCAGACCAGGCTAAGTAACTAAGTAGGAGGACTCTTCGTCTTCGGCTCTCCGAGGGCTGCGCGCTTCGCCAGGCCAGCTCCATGCCTGCCGCTGAGGGATCCGACCAGTCCACATCGAAGAAGCTCTTCCTCTGTCTCTGTGGCCCCCCAAAAAGAGGACCCAAGTACAGTCAGGTGATGGGTGATGCATGCGCAAGGCGCCCAAGATCCGAACCCTTCTGTGGGACCAGCTTGTACAAGCAGCGGCAAGATGGACAGAAGCGCCTGGCCGCCATGCCGCGGACGAGTGCCACGGAACTCGAAGAAAATCGGCCACTAAGCCACAAGCATAGAGCCGGAGGGCTCGTTCTGTGAAGGTCATCCTGCTGGGATCAACTGCCAATGCCGATTTGTCGTTGCCCTGTCACCAAGATTCCCAGGCCTCTGGACCCTGCTGTGCAGCTGGGCGGCTTGCACACAATTTCTGAGATGCTTCGGGCCCGAGGCAGCACGGCAGAGGAAATTGTTGCTTTGAATAACACACCAGCTCCTTCCAGCATCTGCACAAAGACAGCCGGCAAGACCGCCGAGCGCAGCATGGGTTCAGCCTTGCTCAAGACGTCCACCTCCTTGCGACATGTACAAGAACCAAACTCCGCAGCAACACAATCCAGGCCCCAGAATTGCTCTCAGCGGAGGCTTCACCTCCCTCATTGCCCATTTTTGTTTGTTTGGCAGCATCCAACTAAATCTATGGAATGCTCTCACCCCTCACTGTGCGCGGCCTGGAACGCAACATTGGCACTGCATGTCAAATGTCGGCTTCTGAACCAGTCTCGACCTGTCGACACAGCTGCCCACCTCACCTTCACAAAACCCAAACTTTCCTTGCAGTATTCTGCCGGGTTATGCTCGGTCAAATTGCGGTGGCACAGCGCCATGTTGATGTGAACTGCTGCAGTGCAAGCCATCAATATATCAAGGGTCCTCGAAGAGGGCTCGAGGACTGTCCTCTTGCCCAAACACAGCTAGAAGCATCGCCTGCAGGTGATGTCGTGGCAAGCTTCAATACTAAGTACAAGCGTCCCCCCTGTAGCTGCTTTGACACCCAATTGCGGCCTGTCGCTGTAGCCGCTCCTCGGACCACCTAGCAAACTCAGCTCGTGAACATCGCACCAGCTTGTCAAGACTCCGCGCAACGCCACCTCCAGGCTCCTGTCGGTTCGTCCTTCCACAGAGTCCCCGTCGTCCAGACGTGCGACTAATATCAAGTTAAAACCAAGTTCCACCTCGGGGCCATAGTATTGGTACTGGCAGGTCACCTTTAAGAATGGCATCTCGCCTGCGCAGAATAGCGCAGCGCTGTGTAGCGTGTACAAGTCATGAAGGCGAGCTTACACGAAGCCTTGCTCGGACGGGTCCGCCCTTGCGCATTGCGTCCAGGGCGGCTTCAGCTGGGGAAGTTTTCCCGGAAGCAGGCCACACAGCAGGCGGAAAGCCTGCTAAGCTCCACAGATCAGAAAGCAAACTCTCTGCATGAGCCTCAGAGGCAATTCACACCCGTGGGGATCAGCCAGCTGGTTCCGTTTTAATGCATGCAACGGATACGTGTGGCAAACTCATGGCTGCCCTTGCCGCTCTCTGCCGCACACTGCTCTGACATTTGCAGTCCAAGTCGTATGTCATGCCAGATGTGTGGGTATGTTCCTGCACTCACTCAACATATTTCGGCTATGGCGATGGCCCACTTTTGCAATTTCAGATTCCAGGGTCACCAGATCACGCCAGGTGTCTGGCACCTTTAAGAACGTATACGCTTTCAGAGACCTCGTGCTTTGGCCCCCCTACTGCGAAATGCATGGTGGCGATGCGCGACCAACAGAGCAATCGACTTTCCTGAAGTCAGAGCTGCGCTCCTTCCTAGATGCATCCGTCTCAAACCGACGCTAGCTGCATGACTTTCTCTGACAGCTCCTCAACAAGGCCCCCGGGCCCAACGTTGTACTGCCAGGCTATGTTAGCCCTGTTGGTCACACGGCGGTCAGAACGCGGGAGTCCTGCCTCCGCGAAATCGTCCTGGCCCGGGAGACCAGCAACGAAGCCCCTGAAGTGTCAAGCAGTAAAACAGCTTGCTGCTTCTGCGCACGTTAGCAGTTCTGCTGGGAGAAATGGCTGGAGGCCTGTCGCCAGATTTGCGGGCTGCCGCTCAAACTGGACCTCCCAGAAATGGGCGGACTAAGGGCGGACAGGCAACACAGGATTGACACTTCATGGGAGCCCTGCTACTCCGTGCTTTTCTTCGCTTCTGAGGCTCGAGGTCTGATGCAGTGAAATGCACCTCTGACATCACCGCATCTCAGTCCAGCACAGGAGCCTGCACAAAGACCATCTGGCAAAACCTTGGGCCTTGCAATACCTTCCAGGGCACTGCAGTTCGAAAGCCTGGCCTCCAGTTTCTGCGTGCCGTATCCTTGCACCACTTGAAGCTGTGGGGAACCTCAGGAAACAGCCGCAGGCCTCCGAATCTTACACAAGCAGCCTGCCGCTGCACTGCAATCAACACCTCCGAGGATCTCTCAAGCTCTGCCTCTTGGCTGAGCACGCAACTTGCATCCGGTCGACCAGCCAGCCGCGGGTCTAAGGTGCTGCCGACCAGTGTTCGCAGCGAAAGATTCACATGTCCTGCGGGCTCCGAATAGTTTTCTACTAGAGAGGCTTTTGGTAGAACGACGCCAGAGCCCCTGGGTTCGAATAGCTTGCATCGCACTGTGCAGTGTGACTCTCGGCCTTGATTCTCTGGATTTGAACACACCCCTCACACGCTGAACCTGCCTGTCATCTCCAGCCAGCGCCAAGCGTAGCGTCGACCCAACTCATCCGCCGAGCTGGAACAGAAATGGAGACGGTCGCCCTCGGAAAAGCTGTGTGTCAGGTTTGAAAGGCTCAAACGGGAGGAGCCCTCAACAAATCGCAGACAGGAGCAGAGCAGTCGGCCCATCGTCAATCATTCGATTTCAAGCTTCTGAAGCAGATAACTCAAATAACCCTCAAAGCAGCGGCAAATCGTCGCACAAAGGCCAGAATTCCTGCTAAGCCGTGAGAAGTTGCAAGCGAGAACTCCAACTCCAGCAAGATCTCAGAATCATCTGAAAGACCCCGAGGCGGCCTTGTGCCGAAGGCCTGCGCTGGATACCAGAGATGTGTTTGGCTCTCCGTCGCCGATCTCGATGATGGCCTCGTTCACGACTTCCTCATTCAAACGGGGCGAGCTCCGACTCCAAAGGACTCACTACTTCAAGCTCTGGTCGCCCCTTGATGCCCTTTCCATTCTGCGAGCAAGACTCCACAAAGGCGAAGGAGTCCCCTGCCAGAAATTCCAGACCCAACTCCCCGAGGATGATGGGAATATCCTGCAGCTCTCGGTTCCGAGCGCTCGGAGTTCCTTCACTTTGCCATTGCGGCTGGGGGGCGGCGCAGCCACATGCCAGGCGCAGCTGCCTCAGAGCCTCCCTCAAGCGCTGGGCATACTGAGAAGCATCCTCCTGACCTCAGCGCGCAAACTCGCTTCAAAAGCATTCACCACTGCAGCCACCACAGAAACCCTCCCCAAACCCTCAAAGGATCTTTGCACTCTTCTTGGAGCCCCGGCTGGAGGAGTTGGACTCGCCCTGGTGCCAGATGATGCCTCGCAGGACGCCTCCAAGAGCCCGACCCCGCTCCACTTTGGCCACGGCGGCCTTGAATAAGTCTCCATCTGCCTCCAGGCTTTGGCTTTAGGATTTCTGTCCTTCTCACCACGTTCAATGTTGAGTGTTGTGCTGTTCATGCTGTCGGCATCGCTCTTCTGTCCTGATTGCCCGTGTGCTTCTTCGGGCCGAGCTTCATAGTCAAATAGTTTTGGGTGCTCGCGTTGCCCCTGCGATTTTCGTGCTCACGGTCTGTCCATATCAAAGGTACCGCTTCGTAAGCCTACAGTCTAACGGAGCCTAGCGGCTTTGGGAATTACAGTAACACTGCCTTACAAGAATCTGGCAAGTTGCCAGCCAGCGCCGGATTTCGCTGCCGCCGAATGCACAGGGAAGCAGTCCCACGGGTGCAGGCAGGAAATCCTCAGATGAAGTTGAGCATGAAGTCATCCTTACCTTTCTCGAAAAACAACGACAACTCTGCCGAAACATAGTCCTGCATGGCAACCGGACGGGATCCACAAAGTCGGCTTTGGCGTGGGGGGAATGGGGTCGTGACTTAGCAACACGAGAAGTCAGGAGTAGAACGTGGTTCATTGCTCCAGGGTCCCGGTCTGGGATGTTGGGCACAACTTCAGCGTCGTCTGAGCATCTTCCGATGTCTTCCGACACTGCGTGTCTGCAAGCACCATGCGCAGAAAAGTCTGAGTCCTGGGCCACAACTCCCCTTGCGAAGGCCAGTCCAGGTCCAACCCCAGCCTTCTCCGGCTTGTCATAATGCAACGGGTGCTGAGCTGTCTTCCATGTGCCATCGGAACCCAAAACCAGCAATCTCTCGTCTTTCTCCTCCGGGACATCTGGCAGTTCCCCGCGCCCCGACATGTTGCTCTGCCCGGCGAGCAGGAACATGTGCACAGGGCGCCCGCATGGAGCTGCCATCAGCACAGCTCCTGACAGCGGTCACCTGTCTCTCGATTAAGCTGGGCATGCTTGAGCGAAATCTTGCACATGTCCATGCCCTGCATGGAAAAAGAAAGCGACAAGCAGCGGAACTTGTCAGTGCCTTGCCACAGCTGAAGTGATGCTGCGTTTTTTCGTCTCGCGTTTGCGAAAACGTGCGTGCCACACTTTGGACGCTCGCTCTTCTGAAGTCGTTTGCATCAGACGTCCGGTCATGTAACCTGCACAGGCGAGATTCGTTTCGAGGCAACAGGACGAGGATACGGCAAGTTGGAGCCTGCTGGCGTGCTTCGTCGAGAATCACCTCCTCTTCATCTTCCGCGAGTGCTGGACTGATGTTGGCCTACAGGACACCAAAACTGAAGCCTGCTCTGCCCTGCGGCTTCCTGCGGCTCCCTGCCTCGTCCAGAGCATCGAGCACTGTGCAATTGATGCTCTCGCAGTTGTCCACCTGGGCACCTGGTAACCCAAGCTGTCACATTGATGCACGTCGAAGAGTGCAAAGCGCTCGCAAAAGGTCTCACAGGGCCACTACCGACGAAGAAGCATAGCGTTGCATACTGGTACAGATACCTGGCAACACGTTCGAAGGCAAAGAGCGCCCCCGTGCCTCGTTGTTGTATCATGTATATCTCAGGAGCTACGCTGCTGGCGATAGCCGTCGGCAAGCGCACGATTCCGGCTTGCACCGCCTTGGATACTGCACACCTGACCGGACATGAACTGATGTCTTTCAACTCTGCGGGTGTCAACGGAACAGTTTGAAACCATGCTTCGATCTTCTTGAGCTTGCAGGTGCGCTTGCACCCAGCTCCGGAAGCTCACTTCAACATGGAAATACCGAAATACCAGTGACTAAAGACACCGGGCCTGCCAACTTGAGAAGCTCGTCTTTGTCCAGGTACTGGCCACCGCTCCCAAGCTCTAAGTCTCTCTTTACACCACTCTCTGTCTTGCCTGGGTGAAGCCCGTTCTCATGCAGAGAATCGAGAGCTTCAATGCCTCGCCGCTGGGCGACATCATCCTCGTGGATTCTGCCCCAGATTCCGTTGCAGTGGCAAAACTGCAGGGTGTTTTCAGCCGTGGACGTGGAGAGGTTGTAGGCCGTTCGTTGGTCCAAACCTTGAGATCCCACGAAGTACCTGCACCAAGATTTAAACAAAACGCAGCTTTTTCCACGGATCTCAGAGCGTGACGAAGCTCACCTCGAAGCTTGGGAGCCACGGTCTATGTTCGCCACGCCGGCCTAACGTCGCTCCCACCATGTGCATGGCATATGGACTTGCGGTAAGGGCGTGGGAAACAGCACCGGGCTAAGCGCCGCGCCTGCGACATTTGGGTGGTCACTGCCTGCACAACAAAAACTCAGAAAGTGAGGAATCCATGCCCTAAACACCAAACCCTAGGCCCTAGGCCCTAGACCCTCACACTGCTATCTTTGTCGACGGCGCCGCCTGCATGAGTCTCTTTGTCCCGCCAGCAGACAGCCTCGTTTTTTTTGGGGGTTGGGACATACTGCCGCGAAGCTGCAAGGGAAGACGGATCATGGTAGCAGACCCTCTGCGGCTGCAGAAGCCCAGCAGAAAGGTCTCCAACGCCTGGACCAGCCTGGCTGTTCAAGCACATCTCAGCAGCGCCCCTGGCGCATCCTACTCCAACCACGATGTCGAGTCTGGAAACTCTCTGCAACTGACCACCGAATTAGCAGCTCAAGCACGGCCGGAGGGCTCCGTTTGGAACTGAACTATGCGGTGTTTCCTGGAGAGACGCATGCTGGACCGTAGCGGAGAAAAGACGGAAGCAAGATCTTGCCGGATGCCTCTCTTCCAGGCCAGCATCGATGTGAGGCAAATCCTTCGCAGACAAAAATCTCACCGGAAATCGTCCAGGCCACCCCTGTCCTGCAAGCTGAAGGAGGTGCCGTCAATGGAGAACTCGCAGCGATGCGCATCCTGAGCTGACTGTGGATAGTATATGTAACATACATATGTAGCATAAAGTCATGTATTTATCATGTATAAAATTTCTAGAGCAATTGAATTTATGTACAAAGTACATGCGGTGTAATATAGACAGCAGCCACCCCCTTGATCGTGCCGGAGTCCTCGACCAGCTGTGAGCTGACACTGTCCGTGAGGATCCCTTCAAAGGTGTCCTTCCACAACTTGGAAACACGGCTTAAAACGAAGCCGCTCAGAAGATCCCAAGTGGACGATGAGGTGGCGGGCCGTTTGCGGAACTTGAAGACCTACCAAGCACCCCGTTTCTGCAGGATCGGAGGTAACCAGGCTGTAGAAGTTCATGCAAGAAGCACCATTGCCACAACCTTCGGGAAACCCAACAATGATCAACTATGCGTCCTTCTTGCTGTCTCAATGGCGAAGAAATCTGAATCACAGGGTTCGCAACGGGGCCGAGCATAGCACCAACCGTTGGCCTCGAATTACTTACTCCCACTCGCCCTGTCGCTCGGGCTCCACCAACGACGAAAAACCGAGCGACAGAACATCGGCTCCTAATACAAAGGAATTAGCTGCCAGCTACCTATAATATCGAAGCTACTCTGTTTCGACAACACCTGTGCAGTCACTTCTCTGCTCTCCATGCCCAGCCCGGCCTGGTGTTTTCGAAGCGCTTCGGGCCGGTTGGCATCGCTGCAGTCCTCCCGATAGAACCGATGTATTTTGTTCTACCTGTGCACAGGTGCATGTGCATGTGCGTGTGTGTGTGTGTGTGTGTCTGATAGACAGATCGGCAGATCGAGTTTGTGATTGATTCATTCACGCCATTTGGTTTGTTTTGACTTGTTTTGACTTGACCTAGCTTAATATTCGTGTGACTTAAACAGGACCGCCTTGGATTGAGCTGATTGATTGCTTGATTGGTTGACTGACTGATTGATCGACCGATTGGATGATAATTGACTGACTGACCGACTGACTGACTCACAGAGGGACGGACGACGGACGGACGGACTTGCTGACGGATTCATTGATTGACTGACGGGCTGGCTGATTGATTGATTGATTAATTGATGGATGGATGGATGGATGGATGGATGGATGGATTGCTTGATTGCTTGATTGCTCGATTGCTTGTTTGCTTGATTGCTGGATTGCTTGATTGATTGATTGGTTGATTGACGATCGATTGATCGATTTCCTTCAGCGACTCTCACACTGGCTCACTCACCCACTCACTCACTCACTCACTGGTTCGCTTGTTCACTCATTCGCGCTCAATCATTGTTCATTCATTCAGTGCTTGCTGGCCTGCCCGCTTGCTTGCTTGCTTGCTCGCTTGCTGGTTGGCTTGCTGCTGGCTGACCTGTTTGCTTCATTGATTGCTTCGTTGAAAGGTTCATCGGTTGATGAACTGATTGATTGATTGATTGGTTGGCTGGCTGGCTGGCTGGTTGACTACTGGATGAATGGGTGGAAGGATGGATGGATGGATGGATGGATGGATGGATCGATGGATTGAGGGAGGGAGGAAGGGAGGGATGCATGGATGCATGGGTGCATGGATAGATGGATGGATGGATGCATGGATAAGTGGATGGATTGGTTGATGGCTAGATTAGCCAGACATAGCCGGATAAAGGTACAAGTAAAAAGGGAGATACACATAGCAGGATCATGCCCGATGAGAAGAAGCTGGCAAGACATCTGAGTCTTTTCCACAGCGCGTCCTCGCTAAGAAGGTGCTGTAGCATGATGAGGAACCGCAGCTGCTTGGCATTGAGCCTCAGCCGGACATCGCTGCTCAAGAGCTTTCACAGCGCATGATGGTCACGCGGTGCCACACGAAGCAAATCTCTGAGGATGCATCAGGCGGCTCCTCACTCATGAACACTCTGGATTCGTGAGCACATTCGGTTCAGGCTCTGTAGGCACTGCCACGGTCCTGCATTCGGCATTCCGCTGGACGAAAGCGAGGGACTCGGCTGCGAAGTGCTGCAAGCGGGCCTGGTCGGAACCACTGGATTCTGAACTTTATTCAGTGGAGATTGTCTGGCCGAGATGCCTTGTTGGTGTAAGTGGCCCAGACGTTGAATTTCTGCTGCGACGGGCTGGAGCCAGAGTCCTCGTACTGCCGCTGTTCCTCAGACTGCTCAACTAGGGGTTCCTTGATTCCTTGGAGATGCTTTTGGGGTGCGAGCCGTCACACAGCGGCTTTCCAGGTCACGGTATATGTCACTTATCACCGCCTTGGCGACCATGATGTTCCTTTTCAGGGCCAAGGACCACATTCATCACAGGGGTGGCAGCTTGGAGTACAGACAGCCTCTGAAGGATGGACTTGCTGCTGCCAACCGCCTGAAACCGAAGAGACTCGAAGCTCAGACCTGATCACTTACAGGGTGCCAGGGAAGCCTTGTCAGAGCTCGAGAAGGACAGCTCCGTCTCAATGTTCGGCTCGAACTCCGGCGCGCTGCACTGGCCACACCTAGGCACAGGCGAGAAGTCATCCATGAGTAAAGCACCACCGGGCTGTCTTGACGTGACTGTGTTGGCACGTTGCACAATGCTGGCGACAAATTAAAATGTTCTATCGTCTGCTGCTCCTCCTATTTCTGACGCCTCCGCTCCCCACTGTGCGACAAGCTCATGCTTTTGTCTGCATCAGTTCTGCGCCTCATGCCGCCTGTTTTCATGATTCAGGGGTAGCAAGCAAAAGCGGTGAGTCAACATTTGGACATTCATGGCTCGCGTCTTTCACCATGCCCGTGCTCCGTCAAATACCGAAGCTACGGCATAATCCCTATGGCACGTATGGATTGTGCTATGTTTTTCTTTACAAGGTTGCTTGCAACCGTGAAGTCTTACACTCCTCGTTGGCTGTGCATCTTGTATGCATAAACAAATGGATGGACCGGTGGCTTAGGCTGGGCTGGGCTGGCCTGGACTGGAATGGAACAGAATGCAATAGAATGTTGGTCGGTCGGCTGGTTGGTTGGAATTGCATATGTATGGATGTATGAATGCGTATGAGATAAAGGCAATGCTACAGCTGCTGCGTGTCTTTGTCGACCTATTGTCTGTCTGTATGTATGTATGTATGTATGTATGTATGTGTATATACATACACAGATACATACATACATACATACATACATACAGACAGCACAGACAGCACAGACAGCCAGCCAGCCAGACAGCCAGACAGACAGACAGACGTTACACATTATCCGTGTATATATTTATATACACTTCGGAACAGTCTCTGATGAGGTGTCTGAAGCCCCAAACCGAATGCTCTGAACTCCGACACTCAGGTCCGAAGTGACTTAGGCCTAAGTTACGTGAAGCTCCGAGGCAGTGGCCGAGGCAGCCGAAGAACCTGCGAGGACAGAAAGCCAAAGGAGCGAGAAGAGGCAGAGACGGCGACAGCGAGACAGTTAAGCGGGTGAGCAGGGGAGCAGACAGCAGGAGAGGGGGACAGAGACTGACGGAAGAGGCGGGTCGGCTCTGTGCCTTGAACTCATGATCCTGGTCTCGACCGCTTTGTATCTGCACTCCACACCTGGGGTTTTTTTCCATTGACAGAAGTAGCCAAGTATCGCCAAACTGGGGCTGTCACAGGCCCAGGTTGGGCTGTTGCACGGCCTTCGCCACCGACTCTTTCCTGGTCAACAGTTCCGGCTCGCTGCACCAGCGACAAAGAGGAAAGAAATGTCCCTCCAAGGCGTCCGCGGGCCCATGCAGAAACCTAGGTATCCTGAGGGGCCTCAGACATGCTTCAAAATCACTTAGGCAGAGACATACCAACACTCATACCAACAAGATCTCACTTGCAACAAACCGGGCAGAAGGCTGGATCGGCGCACGCCCATAGAGCTGCCTGCAAAGCGAGCATAAAGGGTCACAATTCTGAGTCCGCTCGTGCTGCTGCCTTGATTGAATAGGAATAGGGAGTGAGCGGGAGTGGGGATTGAGGGGGAGTGAGGAGTGGCGGTGAGTTGGGAGCGAGGAGTTGGGAGTGAGACTGAGAGTGAGAGTGGGAGTGCATGAGGAGGGCAAGGAAAACATGAGCAGTCATGCGCATGAACTACAACAGGCCCAGGCTCCACCCCGAGATGTCAATGTCAGAACGCAAAGCTCCAAAACTCGACAGGCCCTTTATTGCATAGTCATTCGCCTCCGTCAGATTTCCGTTCGCATTCAGCCTCGGTGCAGCTGACCAGAACTCAGACTAGAGGCAGCCAAAGACAATGTCAGACATGCTCACAATCTAGTTTGCATTCTGAAACACAGTCGGTGGTCAGCTCCATGAGTCGCACTTTAGGGGCTGCACGTCTGTGACTATGTAAACATGAAAATTTTCAACAGAAACATAATGTAAGAAGTATCACTGAAGGAGAGCAACCCCTCATACAGGGAGGCACCATGGCCTTAAAATTAGCTTGGAGGCTGTAGCGACTGCAAGATACGGACACAGGAGGCCAGGAAAGAAACGCTTGGTTCGGCAATCACAACTCAACATGTCATCCACATACCAACTCTGGAGGTGAAACGACGCAAAATTGGATTCTTCGATCTGTTGATTCGATCTGCTGAATCACATGACATTTCCACTGCTGCTGCCTGTCATGCACAGACAATGCGAGGACGGAGAGTAGGTAGTGGGCAGTTAGCGAGAATGGAGAGTGAGGCGTGTTAGACTCTCAAGAAAGTCCGAGAAAGCTCACTGAATCAGCTCGCTCGGACTTTCTGGAATGGCATTTGCAAACCTAATCAGCTTTCAACTTCAGCAACGGAGGTAAAACATCCCAAACCTCCAGCGGAATCAGTCGCTTGCCGGTGCTGCTGTCGTCCAAGACGTGCAGGTCACCGACTCGCCTGCAAAGATCGCCACCGCCAGAGTATCCGTGGCTTCAATGACAGACTTGGCATGAGCCATCCTGCCTGCCGAACTGCGCCACAGCATGGTGACGGCAACGACAAGGGCTGTTCGAAGCACAGACAGATGCAGGTTAGAAGTCCAGCTGCACAGACTGCACTGGTAGCATGGTTGAGGAAGCCTCTTGAAGAAAGAACCCTTCTGAACATTCTAGAGAAGGAGTCACGTCCAATTTCGTGTCACAGAGCTCTGCTTGAGCCATCTTGAGCCTGCTTCGGTTTGCAGGATCTTATGAGGCCAGGCTACAGCACACAGCTGACAGGAAAGCCGCTTCAGCTGGGGCCCGCCTGGATTTCTGCCAGCCGATGCTACGTCCTAGACATGTGCCGAGGCTTTTCTAGTTCTGGTCTTGAATGTAATCACACGCGCACCTGCTTCTGCAGCTGGCCAAATGGCCTGTGCCGCTCGTCCGATATTTTCTGGGGAAGGAGGTGAACCCTTCAGAAATACTTTTGGTCTTGTCGCCGCTGCTATGTTGCCTGCTGGCCTCACTAGCTACCATGCCTTTCACTGATTTAAGTTGGTGTTGGCAGGATTGCCAGAATTCCCGAGCCTCGGCCGCACCATGACCGCCAGCAGCTTCGGCCTTAATGGCGTTTCACATCTCTCCACTTTGCTCGGCGACTCAGAGAGCCATGGCATGGTGTGGCTTGCAAGTTCTCTGCGACACCTCGCTGTGCCCGGGCTGTCCGGGATATGCTCGGAAGAATGGCCCGACGGCCTGACATGGCCCGAGCGAGTCACTGGTTGGACTCTGCATTTCCAGCTTGGAAGGCACCTCGACTGTCGCCCATACCGCCTCCGCGCAGCGCCGCACAAGAATTTCGGGGGCACTCCGAGAAGGCAAAGGCAATCGAAACTTGCGAGGCCTCACAGCCGGCTGCAGCATCGCCCTCCGCAGAAGTATCCTTGCACTGGAAAGGGGCACCATCTCAACAAGGTTCTCGGACCAGATCCCGGTCCTTGCCGGATCCAGCAGCTGCATCGCCCTCCTGTACCGAGTGACTTTTGTCACGGCTACCCAGGTGCAACGACACAACGGCGCCTGCAGCGGAGCAGCTGGAGATGTGCCTTGAACACCATGCGGCACATCAGAAAAGCCAACAAAGAAAGCGTGCGACAGGAAGTACCTCAGGTATGGACCCTGGGCTTTTCCTGCGCCCCGTGACCTGGGAACTTCGGGGCGGCTTGTGCTAGCCGTTGCTAGAAGTGATTCATAAGTTCCATGCTGCTTTTGGGCTTCCTTATCCGGCTCGACCATGCCGGAAGCTGGGTGAAGGCAGCGCTCTGGCCTCAATGCAGCACATTGGGCTCTGCTAGCATACTGGCAGTTTGCTTGCGGGCATGGGGCTGGTGTTCTGAACGGCTTGCATGTAGCATCTGATGGCAACCGACGGTTCCTTAGCTCAGCGCAGTTTGCCGAGGGCCGAGATCTTCGTTTCGCAGGAGAGTGCAGAGTAAGTCTGAGTGCAGCCTCGCGACGATCCGTCGGCGAAGTGTCCATCGGTAGAGGGCAAAGGTCACACCGGTACCTCGTAGGAAGAGGGTATTCATCTCTCCCTCGAGTTTGGCCGTCTTTTTTGCCGCGCCTATGTGTGTCACATGGATATTCCTTGGGAGACCGCTGCAACCTGGGGCAGTGCGGCATGTTCCCTGAAGGAATCAGACCACCTTCGGCGCGTGGGCAAGGGCCTGCTTGCACTAACTTCTTTCATCACCTGAGCTCAGTTGCATGCTGTGGCGCTCAGGCCTGTCCCTGCTCTACTGATTGCTGTGGAAAGCGCAAATTCCACCAGGAGCGAAGTGCCTCTCAGCACAAGCACTACCTCACACCCTCCGTGTTGCCAGAGGCTCGTCGCTAAGTCGAGCAGTGCCGAAGCTATCTTAAAGCAGGGCGCGCCTGCATGCAGAGTTCGATCTTCAGCAGCGGCCTCCATCGATGACTCTGGTCACATGCCACAACTAAGTCTAGGCATCTCGACCTCGCTGCCAGGCATGCGAAGATCGGGTCCAGACGGATGTCGCACTCAAGAGTTTGAGCCGCAGCTTGTCGTGAAGGACAAAACATCAATCTGAATCTTCGGAGCTTCCGTCCATGCCAGTCCGGGTGCGCAGCGCTCCACGATTTCTCAGCGCGGTCTTGAGTCTCTTGTACGGCTTCTACAGGAGCTAGCCCGGTTCGCGTGTAGCATCGCGTCGCCCTTGAGCTCCAACCGGTGGAGTTTTCAGATAGCCCTGTGTGTGACCGTCTATGTTTATTGCCGTGCTTGATGCACTGACCATACTGCATGGTTTTTCACGTCACTCCCAGAAGCTAATACGTTCTCTGAGGATGAGTGTCTGCCGCGGCGGAATGAATGGTGTGTGAAACTGCCCAAGACGGGCCAACGGTAGTCTCGAATAGAGGCCTCCGCAGTCACGCCGACCTTTGACATCAGTCTCACTGCGCAATTCGGACGTGAGTAGCGGTAGACCCACCTCACATGAGAAATCAGAAGAATCAAGCCGTTGCCCAGGAGCCGGCTCGCTTCCCTGAGACGTGAGCCTCACTTGGTCATGTTTTCCGCTAGCCACTTTATTGCCTGGCCAGGGCCACGCGGGCTGCCGCTCCTTGCTTCTTTTTTTCGGTGCTCTCCTGCCTCCTCAACCCCATCGCCTTTGAGGGCGTCGCAGGAAAAGAGTTGCCACGGCCTGCACGAGCATGAAACCCCCCCCCCCCTTCATTCCGAGCTGAGCCGCCGAGGACATGACCTGTCGGTGATGCGATCCAGAACTAGTGCCTGAGCCGCACAACCGCTGAAGGCTTCTTCCCTCTGACCTCTCCCGTCTCCCGCTGCCTGCATTGTCTCCTGGGGTGGCGAAGCTGCTGGCTGATCAACCTTATTGTTGAGGAACCTCAGTGCATGATAAGGCTGCCGGGATCTGCTGAGGTTCCCAGAGTTGGGACACGCGAAAACCCTATAAAACATCTCGGGCCCGTGCAAGATGGGCATCTTCTTCTCAGCTATTCTAGGGTCTGCAAGCATGGTGTCCAGCTCATCCTGCAACACTTTGAAGATGACTGCCTCGGCCTCTGCATCCGCGGGCTGAGCCTGCCTTGACGACGGCGAAACGCAGTTTGTCCGTGGAATCGATAACCACAATGATGCCCTCCACCTCACCTTCGACGCTGCAAAGTTTCACAGCCTATCGAAACCGTTCAAGGGCCGGCGGCTAGCAGCTTCCTCAGTCTCTTCACAGGTAAGGCAGCTGCCATAGTAATGTTCCCACAGATTTCGATATCGACTCTGTCCAGACCTTTCTACTTGACAGTCTCTTGATTTTGCTGCACAGGGAGCCCTTCGCAATCTCAGCCCGCAGCATGTCTAGCGCAGAAAAGTTAACGCCATGCTTCTGAAACTCCTCACAGCAACACAAACAAGAAGCCTCTGTGCCATGATGCCCCCTTCAACAGACCATGCTTAACACTCTTAACACACCCCTCGGTTCCTCTGTGTTGAAACCCACGGTTGGCACCTGAGCTCCCGGGTATTGCAGCTGTAGTTAGCTGATAAAATAGAAAAACAATCGGAGGTGATCACAAATCATGAACCTCGCCCTCATCAGCAGTGCACAAAATCACAATATCATTGTTGCCCCTATCTCGTCGTGGTGGAAGATGTTGCTGTGGTTGGTGTTTTTACACTTCATGTTGTTGTCAAGGCGATTCTGATGTTAGTCCTGTTGCTGCTGTTGGGTTACTCGTTGCCGGGGGGAATCCCGGGTTGTCGATCCGGGAATTCTGGAACCGCGATGGCGAGGCACATTGCAAACCCACACGCGCACAAACATTCCCGAAGCATGAGTATTTACAGAGTTTTACTGCAGTTTCCTCAATCCGATCGCAGCTGCACGCAGGAAACATGTAGCACACCTCACACACAGACCTACGTATACACACACACACACAGAGAGAAGCCGCTTGCCTGGTGTTCCAAGCACCGCTCCGCAACCAAAAGGATGTCCACACCCGCCAACGAGGAGACTTGCTGAAAGCACTGGCAAGCCTTCTTGTTATCTCCGACAGTCTTGCAAAACATGTCTTACAAGCCGGAGCAAACGGTAGATCATGTTGTTGCTGTTTGAGGCCGCGTGGGTGGTGTGGGGCCATGGAGTCTTGGGGGCAGCGTGGGTCGTCGTAGCGATTCCGTCCCTAGAATCCTAGAATCCTAGTAGTCAGGCGGGTGAATCCGTGACAATCGCGGCGTATCGCGACAGTTGGGCAGACGCCAATCCACGGCCTCGCCCAAGTGACCTGCAGGCTGGGGGCCGGGCCGTTTCCAATGTGGCCTTCTTTGGCTTCAACGCATTGAGGACAGTGGTTTTGCCTTGGCCAATAACGATTTCATCACAAAAGCATGACAGGAATGATTTGCATGCACCTTGTGATGATGACCACAGTGGCAGTCATCATCATGGCCACAAGACACGGTAGCCATTCGTACGTATCATGCATGTCGAAATTGCAAATTCTGAAGGAGGACTTCAAGGCTCTGAAACGGGCCTACCTACATTGCCATGCCTTGCATGCTCGGCAACATCAACAGCGGCAGCAACAGCAGCCGAAAAGCTGCAGTCTGAGCTCCGGGCCGCTGTTGTCAAGTCCGACCACTACAATCCGGACCTTTCGAGCGCCCCCTCTTTGGCAACCTCCTACCTATCCGCTCTTTCGGCCAGCCTTCTTCTTGACCCCGAATCCACCGAAAAGTCTTTTGAAGATGCCCATGCGCACCTGAGCATGGAACAGTCTCCACACCCGCTCCCAAAGTGAGGCCAAGGGGCTCGAGCAGCGGCTTTCGCTTCGTGGTGCCAGTGGCAGAGATGACTCTCTGCCTGACATCGCCCCACAGAACAAAACCAGGCTACGGTGACCAAGTCTCGAACTGAGATGAACTGAGCTTGCTGCTGGTTGGGCAGGCTCGGCTGCCAAAGCTAAGGCCATTGAACCGGAGACAGCAGACATGCAGACATTCCCCCCGGCCCCATCCCTACTCGCTTTGTCAGGATGGAGGAACCTGCTAGGCCTGGAATGAACTAGGCTCATCTGCGCACACCTTCGACGCGTACCACCAATATCTTCTTGCTTTGTTGGAGGCATGGGGCGTGGACTGTTTTTCGAAACCCTGCCAAGAACGGTATCCTGCAATGTGGCTTCTGCTTGGCTCGAAGCCTTCGCAACGAGCAGGCTGGAATACAGCATAGGTCAGACTGTCAAGTGTTCGGGATGTCCAATGTGAATCAACCCAGTCCAATCGAGCGAAGCGATCCAATCCACAACTAGGGAGGACAAGATCTCAGCTTGCATCCAGCTCTGGGGCAGCTTGTTTTTGCTCCTCCTCTCGCGCAGAAACGGTCGAGTTTTGACAATGTCTCGTTAAAAAGGGTTGGAACGACGAAAACGCACCGTGAGAGGACTCCCCCCTCATCCTTCGCCTTTTCTCACTTCTTCTCAAGGCCGACTAGAGGCAGCCCCTGCAACTGAGATTGATCGGGTATCAAATTGCTGTCGCCATCGGCACCTGAACCTAGATTGATGCCATTGCAGAAGAAAGCGACTGCAGCCACCAGCAAGACTAGTCCGACGATGGGGATGATCGACTGCTTCCGGACGTTCTCCGCAATAGAGGATTTTACCTTCTCAATCCTGTCAAAGATCTTCGCAAGCTTTGGATCGCTTGAGATCAGATTTTCAGCGGCAATGACCTCAGCATCGGACCAACTCCCACAGTCTTTGAAGGAGTCGCTGGACAAGAAGTCGATCACACGGGATTTGCTGTCAGGCATGGAGAGCTCGGTGAGAGCATTGAGCCGATCTGGAAAGATCGTTGTCCAGTTCAGTGCATCTGACATTATGTCGGAAAGGCGGGCGCTGCGCAGTCGCTGCAAGCAGGGCCGCCAGTCCCCACCCTTGTCGGTGTCGAGCAGGAGCGTCGCCAAAACATCGGCATCCATAGCGGCTCCTGTGTCCCAGGGATATTACATGACAGTGGCACAGTATATGAATCTGCTCTCACCTGCCATCCCTTGTCTCCTAGCTCTGCGACGTTGCTTCGAACTCCGTCCGGAACATTTTCGGGCAGGATGGCAGAGCCAGACACTGCTGAAAGTTGATAGATCGCAAGGAACCAGCCACGCACCACCTCGTCCAGGACTGTGGTTCCTGCATCCGGAATGTTTTCTAGCCGGTCCAAGAGGTCAAAGAAAGCGACGCCCTTCTCTCCGAACAGGAACTGGGCAGGTCTCTGCTCAGTCTGAGAATAATCCGATAAGGAGAAGGACGACTCCACGACCTCCGGCTCAAGCACCGTCGCCACACTGCCTAGGAGGAAGGTACTCAGAACATGATGGGCTTTCATACAAAAGTTGAAAAAAAAAGACAAAAACCGTATGCTTCGTACAATACATAATCACTTGGCTTGGGCACCCACGGAAGCCTCCGAGGGCTCCGTTATTGGCGCCGAACTTTGCGTCTGCGCGGCGGCCAGAGCGGCTTTGGCCTCCGCGGCCGCGGCCCTCGCCTGGGCCAGTTCGAGCTCAGCCTGCAGAAGTCAGATGGACAAATAGACTCAAATAGATTCAGATAGATACATAGATACATAGAGATAGATAAATGGATAAATACATAGTCATAGATAGATGGATGGATGGATGGACAGGTAGAACATGGTAGATAGACCAGTGCTCGCACTTCTACAGTATCTGGGGCAGCCCCCGCCTTCAGCTTCTGGATCTCTGCAGAAGAGGGCTCTGCGTCCGCATCTTGGGCGTTTAATCGGATAGCCGTCCCCAGCGTCAGACTCTGGGGCATGACCTTAAACGCAGTTGGATGCAGAATGCAGTCAACACGAGGATGTTTTTTGAACATTGAGTTGCGCCTTAGAGGGGACGAAAGCTCTAACGAAGGCATTCCCAGCCCAGCCCTTTCATCCGCAACGGTTGCCGCTGGTACAGTCTGAGTCTGCTCAGCACTGTCCTTCGTCAATAGTTCACTGAACCCTAAGATCGTGGCACCAATTTGCGCTCCCCCAGCTCACAACTCCCCCAGACACAGGACAGCAAAGCAGAATTTTGCACGAGGGGAAGAGTTTCCGTGATTGGGAGAAGATTCAGCGATTCACACTCACAGCAGAAACGGCGACATGACTACTATTCATTGTTCATGATGACAGCAACCTCAACATGACACATCTGCAGTCTTGCATGCTTTGCGGTCAGGAGGCTCGAACACCTGGAACAAAAAGCACCGTCGCCGGAAGCAGATACATCGCGAGCCAACCTTAGCAACCGGTCGTGGTGAGGCACCCATGGACTACTCACGAAGCCACGGAGAGTCCGCCGAGAGCCACTGTATCAGGACTGTTGACATGAGAGCTTCACCGGCTTAACCGGGATTAAGCCAGCCGAGTGGCATGCCAAGACTCCCAAAGTTCTTCGCCCGGGCTGGCTCTGAGATTGACTCTGCCTTAGTTCAAGCTTTGACACTCACCAAGGCAATTCGAGGCAGCGGCCAACACCCTGAACCCCCTTCTTCATCCAAGCATCCCATGCTGTCGTACAAGTGCTGCCCTTGGCGCCATGGCTCTCCCGGCTTCCTGCCTGGCGTGCCTAGGTAATATGAGGTGTGAAGGCGCATCATACCTGCCATGTCTCTTCGCACGCACAAGTTTTCTTGGAGCACGCCTTTGCGGTTTGCAGTAGGCACGTCACAATTGTCCTCGCGTGTTTCATGTCGTTGATCATTGGACTCCGTGCTGTCTTGTTCATGTGTTTGCTCTACCTGAGCTTTGAACTCAAGCTGCACATGGTCGGACCAAGGAAAGCATGGCATTTCTTACCACATCGGAGTACATCGGGAGCTGAGAGAAGAGTCTTCACAGGAAATCACCTGTAGCCATTGCGGTCGACCAAGAGCCGACTTACTGAGCAAAGCAGCAGGCTTTCCCTGCAATGGCCCGGATGATACATTCTCAGGCTTTGCCAGTGTCACACATAAACGGAGTCGGAATCCGAACGCGCTTTTGGCTTTGGAGCAGGATGGTAGCGTGGATAGTCCTCTGCGTTCAGGAAGGATCGGAGCATGACGAAGGCCGCTTCTGGCTTGTATTCCGGCACCATGTGTCCAGCACCGCGGATTGTGAGGAAATCGAAATGGTTCTCGTAGCGCGTGACCTGGGAGCGGCAAAGGCTCTGAAAAAAACCGGGCCTTGGCTCAAGATTTATCCATTTTTCCATGTGCGTAAGCAGGCACATAGCCACCCATCTTGATCTTGCCATCCCGGGTCCACGGACGCCAGGACTCCAACTCTGGAATGCCAGCGGATCACGTCCAATTTTGTGCGTAGAAGCCTAGGCTTGTCGGAGCAAACAAATAACCATGAACCACATCTACTTGTACCAGTACCAGGCAAAAGCTGAGCAAGCCACTGTTGAGGCCGGGGTCTGCGTCTCCATCGTAAATGAGGATCCGCAGCTTTTTAGCCTCCGCCTGTGGGCTCTCCACAAATTCCACGCATTTCTAAGCTGCTCATCTTGTGATATAGAAACTGATTCGACAAGTTGCGCTGGAGTACCACGGAACCAGGCTTGGCTGCGTCGAGTTGTAGGTGAAGCCCACACCGTTGTCTCCGGTGAAGAAGCGGGCATCGCTTGCCTCTGCAGCAAAAAGAAACACCAGCGGCTACATGGCCTGTGATTTTCGGACTGTTTGCTGGCAGGGCGCAACGTGCAGGGCTTTCTTGACTGCCTGGAACAGACAGATGCTGAGCGTTTGTCGAGAGTGCATCGTGTGCGCCAGCCATTGACATTGAGTTCAGCTGCACTTGTGTTAACCCACTTGAACATAGCATGGACGCCGCCGCAGGGTGCACCTGAGACATGGGAAGTTGCAACAGTCCAGGCGTCCGCCGACTTCAGCCAAAAGGACAAACTGTCAGCTACTCAAGCCAGATCACCATCCATGTGCCAGTAACTGTTCTGATGCAATGAAAGCTGCCGCCACGAGCGAAGCCTTCAGGATAGCAGGTCCGAAGGATCATCACCGTTGCTGTGTAAACACGGCACCCCCGCACCTGGAACTTCGTCGCTGCATCAATGGGGCCTTGGCACTTCTCGAGGTAAACAGGTCGCCACGTCATGCCACTACTTCGGAGCTTCGGCTAGTCGTTGACAAAGGACCGCGGTCCCGCTGTCCAAGTCGAAATCGTAGCACTCATCATAGAGGTTATAGTCGAAGCTGTAACCTGGACATCTGCACGTCTCTGCTAAAGCCTGTTTGCAAGAGCCGAGGCTCCTCTTTCTTGGTCCATCTTGTCCAGGGCTGCATGGCACTGCGCCGTCTTCGCTCCGTTCACCAGCTCCTCTCTGCTTCTAACCCGAACATACTCGACCTTGCGATACAAGTAACAGAGACGATCGCATCTTTTTCCCTGCACATCCTCTTTGGAACAGGCTTCCTGGATCAGCTTGTATGTCTTGTCCGAGAACCTCAAAGATAAAACCCCGAGAGGTCGTGCAGAAGCCATCCCTGTACTGTGTGCTTCTATCATTTGCGGGGAGGCAGCTGACCATGGCCATGGAAAAACTCCACGGTGAAGTAAGGCCCGGTGCTGGGCATGCACCCTCCCTCGTTGCCCTGAAACAAACTGCGGCCAGACGGCCACCATGTCATCACGATGAGTTACTACGACTCTCTGCAACGCCAAGTGACGGGGCCGCCGAGGCAGCCGTCGCCGACGGCAATGCCTTCCAGGCGCATGGTTCCGGCCTCAAGGATTTGCTGCGCGAGCATCGGCACGTAGAGGCCCGCGTAGGATTCACCGACGAGGAACAGGCGGTTGGAAGAATACCTCAAGACTTCGCAGCTCGAGGCTCAAGAATGTGGGCCCGATCGGGGACTGCGCTCCCTGACCAAGCCACTCTGGGAAGGCCTTCATCCAGTTCTGCATGAAGATCAGGCTGTGCTTCGCCGTCTTCGTGTCTTTCCAGGAGCCGCAGCTGTACCCGTCACCGCTGGGTCCGGTGGGATTGCAGTAGGAGAAACCGATTGGAGGAGGCAAGTTGCGAATGAGCAGCGAGCCAAGCTTCGTCCATCCTTATATAGCTGCTCTTATTCTGAAGGGAAGCCAAATATCGAGAGAGGGAGAGAGGCAGCTTCAGGCAGGGCAGCGGTAATCGTTCTCGAAGAGGGTTGGAACGCCGGAAGTCCGATAGGCCTGTCATGAAAAAGCATGGGAATGGCAGATTTCCTGAAAACGGCCCGAGCCTCTGTCTGAAGAGAAGCATCTGCCAGAAAGTACGGCCCAAGCTCTGTGAATGATCCCAGCAAGGAAGATGCTCCAGGTCCACCGTTCGTCCACATGATTAGCCTTGCGTGCTCTCAGTCGATACTTGTCGATATCTTGGCAGACGTGAGTGCGAGCTTGTCTACTCTGTTTTGGCACGAAGCGGGTCGTCTGTCGGATTGCCTTCACTCTCGAAGAACAAGTAATGCTCAAACATCTCATGGCCGTCCTCCTCGCCTGCAGGGATGTAGCCTGCCCATCTCAGGCGGGAAGTCCGCGGTTCACCCCAGCACAGGCTGGATAAACTCCTAGCACCGCGCCTGAATACGTCTTGGAGAAGAGCTCGCTCGACCAACCGGGAAGGCTGTGAACCTCGTCGTCTTTCGGAGCAGCTAGGGATCTGCTGCAAAGTGACCTCAGGAAACGTCCCGTTCCCTGCAAACCTGACTAGTCCGGAGCATTGCGCGATACTGCAACAAGTTGCAGTAGGCAAAGACGCCACATCGCCGCCATCATGCAGGCACAGAAACAGCTACCCAACTCCAGTGTCTGCTATAACTGGTCCATCTCGTCAATCTGCACGGCAACATGTACAGTACAAGCCTGAAAAGCTCGAACATGCTCGAACCGAAACCGCTGAGAATGATCGCGCCGTCTGACTTCACAGCGCCTGTCATTTCTCATTATGGCAAAGCTAGAGAAGAACAAAGCAGAACGGTGTTTGGCTTTCAATAGGCTGGCTCTGTGAAGGCCACGCCAGGCTGCGACATCTGTGCAGCCGCTTTGGTTCTGAAGTGCCCGGTTCAGCACATGTCCAAGACGGAGCTAGTCATTTATAGTCTATTCATAGTCGATCTGTGGGCGCGTAAGATTGCAGTATGGATCACTCGTCATCGTCATGAACCGTTACTCTTTGTGAATTTCCAATCTCGCTCTCCTCGCACCGACGGCCCTACCACTTTCGAGATGAAATGCTTGACTTCACTGGTCACAGCTCAGCGGCTGGCTGGTGCGAGGAGCATTCACCAGTTCTGGTGTGCTTCCCAGCTCACTCACTTTCGCGACAAGTACTCCCACTCTAATCCATGCCTCAGCAGAAAGATGACGAGCACCGGGAGCAGAGAACATTGCAGGACAGTCCAGCAGCCAGCACTTAGGCACCCACGTCCTTTGAGCTTCTTTGTGATGATCTCATCGGGTGTGATGATGTGGACGACACCACCCCAACCTCGAAAAGTCAAAGAGCTTGGCTCTGTGGCGGGCTCTCTGATCGGCTCTGGCAGTATCTGAGCCTAGGGCCCGCCAGGCAGTCTCGGTCCACACCCGACAGCAGGCACCTTCCAAAACCGAGGGACTTCTTCGAAGAACTGATGGTGTGAAGAGCAGCTCTTTATCTGCGGAGCACTGGGAGAGAGTCTCGAAGAGCTCATCCTTGTTCATGCCTAGGTGAGCTTCCAGGCTTCCAGGTATTTCGCGACACCTGGACTCGCCTGGAGCCCCCGGCCAGGGCGCCAGAAGGATTCACAGACACCAAAGAGCTGATCTGAAGTCGTGCCCGACACTACGAAGTCCTGAAGGCTACATTACGCTGCTCTCATCTTCTTGCAGTATTCCGAGCTTCCTCACGGCATACCCTTGGTCCTCCGCGGTAGACAGGCATCCGATGAAGTCGAATCCGCAAAGAAACCTCAAGGATCCAACAAGCGTAGCTACCGCCGGCGAACTCGAACGTGGCAAATCAACGTCTGGGACCATCACGGATTTTGATCTTTATCCAACCCGGCGACGACTGGCTCTGTGAACCACGGCCCAAAACGCTTCTCATACCTCCATAACTTCTGTGCTGGGCTGAACCAACAGCCTCTACCCACAGCAAATGTTGATCCCTTCTGGCGCACAGCATGGACGCGAGCATGTTGCCGATCATCCGAGGCTGCATGACGCGTTCCTGCTCTGCAGCAGTTTCGTGGAATGTTGATTCTGCAACCATGACCTTGAGCTGCAAGTCCTCCCGCAGACTGAACAACTTCATGCGGAAGTTTAACAGCTGGCTCATGGTCTGCACCTCGCTGGCAGCGGTAGCACAGCCAGACCAGGAACGCGAAGGGAGATTTAAGACGACGCCGTCACACATCAAAGCGATACCCAACTGGGCTCACTGCGTCTGTTGCTAATCCTGCAAGTCCAACATAGCATTGGTCGGTCCTTGGCATGGCACTGCAGGCTACAAAACCGCTGTAAGACCCTAAGGATGCCTCGAGGCCTGTTCATGGAGTCTGGAGCTTCCCACACCGTGCTGGGCCTCAGACACCTGGAAGCACTTCTGCCTGCCCAGAAATCTACAACGCCAGTGCCATTGATGCTCAAGACAACACGGCCAAGACCGTTGCCTGTTGCAGCTCACCGTCTGCAGCTGTCGAATCTGTGCGATGCGATGCAATTTCATGGGTACCCCAAGCTTGGTTCAAGCCTTTTGACCGTCGACTCACTGCTGGGGCCGAAGCTCCGTAGCGCGAGTCCGAGGCGATGCCTACCTGGGCAAGTCAGGCAATGGCAACTCGTCCAGCGAACAGGCTAGAGCCTACAGTACATATAGGGTCCCCGACACACTTATCGCCTGCCATGGCGACAATGGTCGAGCCTCAACTCACTTTGGCGCACCGCGAGAAGACTCTCTTTCTAGTTGTCTGCGGTGATGAAGTTATGCAGGTGTGGCATGCACACTGTCTCACTGCGGCCGGGACAGCACTTTGTAAGGAAAGCTCAATCGTGCTTTTTCGTAAGCTCTGCGCCATTGTATTCCATTAAGCCGCTCATGATGTCCTCTTGACCTGCGTGGCAGGGTTTGCAAAAGAACAAGACAAGGCCTGCTGTATCAGAGAACTGCGATCCTGAGGCATGCGCGTCGACAACCAAAGAAGTGGAACAAATACGGCGCTACTTTGCCAGCTGAGCTATCACGCAAGCCAGCTGCCCACGACACAAGATAAGCCGACTCGAGCAGACCCATCGCCATCCCGGTCATCGTGTCCCTGGTCCTATGCAGGTCCCACTTTTTCGGGCTGGCTCTCGCTCTGGAGTCCGAGAGTCAAGCGAACCCGACGATGCTTTGGGATGCAGACGCAGCATCGCGGGGAGTCGCATGGATCGCATAGTCTACATCAGCACTACGAGTACTCTCGTCTTGCAAGCCTGTTTCTGGATGGTCCAATTCAAGGTAGGAACTCTGCTGATCCAACATCTATAATCAAACCGAGGATGGTCATGGAGTCATGGATCGTCCAGAGGTACACTTGCAAAAGCTCAGCATTATCGATGGATAGCATTGGCAACGCAGTTCTTGAGGGCCTTGTTCCTGGCAGGTGCACTCAAGAGAAATTGGGATATGGCACTCCGAGAGTTCCGGCAGCGCACGGTTTCGGCCACTTATCTGTGTCGAGCATGCCTTTGCACGAGTTGGCTGACTGTCGCCGTCCAATTTGCCCTCACACGAGTGTCTTTATCACATTGCCGGCAAAATCACGTTGCCGGGCCGCAAGCCGACATTCTCAGGTGCTTCGTGCCAGCGCACAGCGCAAGTGTTGTTGGTGTGCGTGCTGCCGGGATGAGGTCGTGCTTGTGTCATTTTGAAGAGTCGCTCTGGGTGACTGCGGAAGCCCCCTGCTCCCAATCGGAGACAGACCTGCATTCATGCTGGATTGACACGTCGATCCGTTGTCATTGTCGGAAACAGGCAGTCAGTGAGATAGCTGAACGAACACCATGAAAGACGGTCTACCACCGAAGCGGCTCTCACTGACTAGGCGCTTCTGAAGTGCGCCCGTCAAAAGCTGCGAGCATGTCAATGTGTACAAGATGAAATGACATGGCTGCGTAAACCCTCTGGATACATCCCTTGCTGTCACTGCTTATGGTAAACAAGAGGGCGACAGGGAAGCCTATGTTGATGTATGTTGGGTGCACGCACATGATCGACGGTCTCCACGCCCAGGCATGGCACCTCCTCTCGATGTCGTCTAGCCTGTTGATCATCAGATTTTGTGCTGTCCGCGATGCACGCAAGTCCTGTGAGTGAACAGGGAGTACATGTCTCCTCAACGACACGACACCTGTGAGGCCACATCTGCCTGCTGGACGATATCCCGCTGCTTTGATTCAGCTGCAAGCTCCTGCAGACTCACTGAGGCCGCATCCAACACCGGTGACATGACTTGCAGTGCACGACTGACCATCTGGCAAGCCACGGCCTTGCGTGTGGCCTGGAGGGCCTGTTTCAAGCCCTCCAGAGCTTCGCATTCTCTTTCGTAGGCTGTCGTGGCCTGCACTCATGAATGTCCAGTGATACCACGCACTGAAACCACCTCCAAATCACATGCGCACCCATGTGGATGTGGGAAGCTTTTGTTGCCTCTAAAATCATCGTGTTGGCGCTTTTACGGTGGGCGCTGCTGGCCTGGTTGCCATGGGTCGTGGTGCTCTGCTGGGAGCGCTTGCGGCTGAGCGTCCGAAGATGCACTAGAAGCGTGGTATGGGGTTTGCTGTGAGCCTGGGCCAACTGAGGGTCCGAACTGCGGTGAGCGGCTCCTGGTTCTTTTGTATGGCCTGCTGGACGTTCTGTGGTGGTCGAGTCACGGCGCGGATTCCTCCACAAACTCGTCAACCAAAGCCGCGAGTGCTAGTTTCCGAGTGCCGTATTCGATGTCGTTGGTGTGACAGTGGGCTGCTGCGACGCGGTCTAAGTCCATCTGGCGAAGAGATAGATAAAGACGCACACGACTGGGATGCTTTACCCCGTTGACCCACAAATCGTGGTCCCCTCACATGCATGAAGTCTACCTTTCAGCATCCCGCAGGCTCGGTGGTGGTTGTTCGGCTTGCGGTTCCCGAGCTTCCTCGTTGAGCTGGAGGTGGTAATTTAGAGAGGGCGCCAAACCTACATTGTACCACATGGCACAAGCCAACAGGGGGCTACAGAGGGTGAGTTTTAGCATGGCGATGTCCAGGACCAGGGAGCCCCACTGCAACCGGGAAGGAGGTTGACCGAGCACGGAGTGCCTTTCATCGTTGACACCTTCCAGCAGCGGGTATCGAATCCAAGTGTCTTGGTGCGCCGACCCCAACCGCCTCAACTGCTAGGGGAGAAGGGAGGTGACACTTGGAACTTCGTTCGACGAAGGTCGCCCCGGCAAGGTTTCAGTTCTTGGTGTCCAAACGGGCCCCTACAGCTTCGCTTCTTCTTCGTCGGAGGGTCGACACTCCTTATCTCTCTTCTCTACCAGTCTAACGCGCCGTGATTTACGGGCTCTTATAGCGGGGAGTGTCAGCTTTGCTGGGGCATCTGACCAAACGGCAGGTTGACATCTATTATATTAGCTTATGCTGCTGTTGGCATGCGAAGGGAAACTATAGGTCTTAGCAATGTTATGTACTTTTGGTCTTCTCTTTTCTTTGTTCCCAAGGGTTAAGGACGCAAGCAGAGACCTGGTCTTACGTCAGGGCTAGGGACAAGCTGTCCCAGGACCGTCTCTATATCTAATCTAGCGGCAAAAAGAGTCACTTAATCAATTGTCACTTATCAGAGGATGATGTGCACGCTTTCCCGGCCTCCTGCAGGTGCGATCTCAAGGCATCGATGTCTTGGCGCAGCCGCTCGTTCTCGGACCCCAGCCCTGACCGGCAGGACCCATCGAGACGACAAGGCACGACATGCAAGGAGAGATCTGCCTGACAGCTCGGCCGTGGCCACTCGGTTGCCTCCCGCAGCTTCCGGCAGCTAGTCGTGATGTCGTTTAACGCTTCTCCCTGAGTGCCGGGCTGTTGTTAATGGTTTGCAGCTTTTTTTCCTCGTCAGAACTCGCGGACCGGCTTGACTGTCAGTAACTCTTCACTTACTCTTCGGCGGGCGGACCAGGTCGATGGTTTGCACGACTGCGCTGTCATCATCTTTCTTCTTCTTCTGGAGCTTCGTCTCGTACCTGTTTGCAACTCTGCGCTGCCGTTGGATGTCAGAACTTCCGTCCCGCCATTGTGTCGACTGCCACAACAACTTTCCAGGGCACTGGAGTTTGCTCCGCTTCAGCTCTGCCAACTGCTTTGTCAGCGAACTCTTCTCCCGCATCTTGGCATCGAGGTCCTCTGTCGCTGGGATCAAGAACGATAGCGCTAAATGGCAAGCACAGGCGGTGTTCTCAGCGTCCTCTGTGCAGATCTGGCTCATTGCCACGATGCTCTTATGGTCCAAGCCAGCAGTGGAGGAACCCGCATTCTGCCATGTCACAACACGCCGCATGCCGCGTGTAAGAGTTGAGCAGCTACTACGACAGGCCGGGCAGCACTCACCACACTCCTACGTCCAAGTCCTGATTCTCCCTTCAACAGTATTGTTGGGGCAGGACCTTGGGCGAGCCGGCTCTCACTCCACCAGAGCGAGAGGAGGCAGAAGTGCGGGAAGACATCGCCTTCGCCACCCCCACAAAGCCGGAAGGCTCTACACTTTTGCCATGAGAGCTCGGGGCGCGGCAGGGCCAACGTTGCGCTTCGGTCCCGACCTGCCTTCGAGCTCAGCTCCTCGCGCCTGCGAGGTTTGGGGCCCGGCTTTGGCCCCTTCGCTCCTTTCGCTCTCGTCTCTTCTTCGCCCCCAAGAGAGCCTGGGAGGGTCCGCTGCCATTGCTCGGAGCCGGAGCCCAGGCCATGACCTCTCACTCTGAGAAGCCTCCAAAAAGCCCCTAAGATCCCCGGTTCTGGGAAGCTGAGTCCGGGACCAGCAGAAAGGGCGACCAGCGGACACAAGGACTGAAGCTGTCTTTAACTGGGCTTGGTTTGCTTTCGGTGGGCTAAACAAAAGCACGAGGATTCCTTCTTCTGATTCCTGTGTGTTGTAGAGTTCACTGGCAAGGCTCGCCTGCCTGGTCTTAAGCGCTTATCACTACTCTCTAACATCCCAACACGGTGTTGCCAGCATGGCATGGAGCCACTCTCGACTTCTTGCGTTGCAGCGAAGACGACAAAGTTTGACGGCAAATTGTCTGTCGACAATCATCTCAAACTGATAACCCTGCAGCAGGTTAACTGCACCTTGTCCTTGCAACCCCTGGGATGCAACTCTGGGCATGACATCACTGTCATTTTTGCAAGCTCCTTGTGAGCGGGTGCATTAACTCGTCACGGCACTTCGCAAAGCAAGCGCTCTTCACTTGCTGTTGCTGCGGCCCTGACGAAGGTAAAGTGCACAACTCCATGTCAACCGTGAGCTTTCACTCCAGTATGATCGCTCGTCCAACTCTCCCGGAGACCTGCACGAGCTCTTTGCTTGGAACAACACGCAGCCAACGCCACCTGAGCACGATACGTACTCTGCAGTGTCCGCAAGCTTCTCCATGGAAGACTCCAAGCCTGCAAACCGGGAAAGCTCGCAAACCGAAACACACGTCGAAGGACACCAAGCACCCACTTGCCTTGTAGCCGCTCCTTCAGACCCTGGACAAGAGCCAAGGATGCTCGAGAGTCAGGGACCAAAGGCACACTCGGCGAACCGGAAGTCAGATGCCTAAAGAAGAAATCTGTCCTGGCTTTTGGTGGGAAGGTTTGCAACACAGTCTGGGTGTCTGCAGGTCTCTTGTCCGACAGCTCGTGCTATCGCATTGGTTGCTCGGCTCAGCTGTTGCACATCGGAATCCTCTAGCACACAGGAAAGGAAACAACTTAAGGACAGGCCAGAGGCTGAGCCCGAATACCGCGAAAAGCGGCATAATATGCTTTGACTGAATGGATTACCGAGCAAAACCAACCAAGCGACAGAAGATTGGTTTTTCTTATGATTAGATTAAAGACAAGTCTGCTTACGCAGCTCTTGCCACCGCAAGCCATGTGACCAGCCTGCACCTGCTCCGCGAAGCTACGTGTTTGCCGCTCGAACTGCTTTGAGACCCTGGGCCAAGCGATTCGATGCTGCTCGCTGCCCTCATGAAGTCATTTGCGTGTGCTGTGAGACCGTGAGGTCTGAGTGCTGAGCTGTCGGACTTCCTACGTCGTCAGGCACAGGCATTCAGGGGAATGGAAGAGACATCGTGACCATTGCACGAGCCTTCTCCAGCGACTTGTACAAGTCGTTGCTGTCCTCGGTCGCTAGCCACTACTGAGTCGACGCAAGTGCCAGCTTTGAAGACACAACAAGATCCATGTAAGGCTTGGACTGACATGTGCATGGACTTGTCAAGGCTTTCCTGCGCAGCTAGATTGAGTGGAGAACAGATGAGTGGTCATCGTGCAATTACGGACAGCGTGGTTTGTAGGCGCTCCTTGTAGCACATCCAGAGGTAGTACTGTTCCTGCGAGAAAAAAGCGAGAGAACAGCTCTGGATGCAACTGGATAGGATAGTCGAATCGTGCTCTGCGCAATGCGTGCACATCGGCGGTCCCCCTTTCTCTTGTCCCAGGGACGCTGGACCTCAGATTGAAGATCTGCCCCAGTTTGGAGGGAAGAGCTTTCCACAAGGCTGCAGCAAGGATGGAGTCGCCCAGCATTGCGCTGCCACAGAGAAGTCCCGTGGGGATCAAGTAGTGGATCGAAGGCTCCTCACTTCGACGCCAGAAAGAAGCAAGGAAGGGCTGCAAGTACCAGGGCTGGAATCAGCGGACTCTGAGCGCCTGCAGCATGTATGCCCAGGCCCCGATGGCAACCAGCTCCAACATCAAGTAAGCAACAATGCGACGTGGCCTTGGCACAACAATGAAGCTATAATGGAGTGTGCCCCTGCGTTGTTGTGCTTAGCTTAGTGGCGGCTACCTTACCCACATTGGGGGTCTGGCACACGGAAAGGGAAGCAGACCGGGGGCCAGGATGGCCTGAAAAAAAGAGCCGAAGTTCAAAGAAGCCTCTGAAAAAAGAGCCAGCATAGCAAGCCAGAAGCCTGGCCGGCCTGGCCTCAACAAGCAGTGGAGACATATCCCGGCTCTCTCCTCCATGGATTTGTAAGTCCAGCGTAAGTAGAGAGACAAAGACTGCAAAAGGAATTTTCTTGGAGTGGCCTGCAGAAAGCTGGTGTAGGCCTGCACAACACAGACATTTTCTGTGACGAGAGTCTGAAACATCAACGCAGCGGCTCCCCCGAAGTGCTACAAGGGCAGCCTTGTCTTGCGCCCGGTTGTATGCCTGCCAGCAACGGCGCACATTCGAGGTCTGCGGCAGCTGATCAGTGACGGGTGAGTCGGTTCCGGAGCGGGCCGGGCGGGCAGACAAGCTCCAGTTTCTAATGCCCTAACCGTTAACCCCCAAACCCCTGAACCTTGAACCCCTAGACCGAGGCCATGTTCTCAGCTGGACCCTCATCTGCAGCCAGCGTCTTGCTCCGAACAACAGGGGGGGTCTGTTCATAACAGTGGCCGCTGAACTCAATGTAGGCGTAACCAGCATTCCTGATTGCATCTATGCCCCCCCCCCCATGGGAATTGCTTCGATCGCCTCGCCGTGAACTGCAATGAAGAGGTTGAGGACACACACCTAGGAGACCCCAATTCCGTGCATGGAGCGCAAGAAAGAGCAAAGGGCGAAGCAACGCTCAAGCTTTCGGTCTCTGACACAAAAGACGACCACAGCAGTCAGAAGGAATACGAAGGTCATCGGCGTTCCCTCCTTGTCAAAGCATGTGCCGTAAGTTGAGTCTTGGCCGCATCATGAAGTACTGCAGGGTCTCCTCAGGCGCACCGCCCACTGCGAGGGCAACATCGATCCCGTCTCCATCGCCTTCACAGGTGACCATGCTACAAAGCCGCTGCAGGTGCCGGGGCTCTCAGCCGTCCACCCAGAAGCAGCAGCTTCAGCGATCCCAAGGCCTAAGCTGCTCAGGCTGCGACCGAAAGAAACCCCCGGATGAAAAGGCTAACGCAACTTCAAGCCAAGGCAAGGGCCACGTAGTAGTGTTGCGGAAGTGGATGCCTGACTCCGAAGCTAAGGTAGAGTGCAAGGCACTCCTGTGGTACAAAATGAGGCAAGAGCCCAAGCTCCAGTGCCATTGCGCCATGCAGAAATCCCACAAGCACGCAGAAAGTCACCACCAGGATCCTGCCGGACGAACAACGATGCTTCGGAGACTCACGAGATCATGTGCCTACAAGACTGTTTACCAAGCCGCTGCACCCGCCGATGGAGGTGGAGAAGGAGGCTTGCAGGATTGGAAGGATCTTCTCCCCAACCTCAAGATGCACTTGGCTGCCCTCCGGGCGTTTCGCCGAAGCTGAGTGCCAAGCATATTCGAAGGCCCTGCAACCTCAATGCAGATATGCAAGAAGTATCGGTAAAATCCCTGGAGATAGCCCTGTGCAAGAAGGCTTTGCAATCGTCTGGTTGGAGCGGCTACCGAAATTACCATGTTCAAGCAAGCTCCAAGGAGCCGAGTCGTCTTTGCTACTCCTCTGGTCTGCAGCCTACTGCAGTAGATGTTGCCTGCCAGCAGACGTATGTCGGACTTGACTAGGCAGATTGACCCGATGTCACCGAAAAAAACAATGCACGAGGTTGGGAATTCAGCCCAAGCGTGAAGGTCACATCGAGACCACTTTCAGACAAGCTTCTCCACGTCAGCTGAATCCAGCGGAATAGCACCAGCACGGAGAGCATGATTGGGATGTCCTCCGAAAGAACTACAACAGCCCATGGCAACTTGCATACATCTTGACAGTATCCCTTACGTAAACGTCCTGAAGACTTACATCACCGGATGTCCACCAAACTAGCACCTTGGAAGTCAATTGTGTCCAAGCCATTGAACACACACACACACACAAAATCCTCGCGGGCTGCAGAGTCCTACGGTTCATAAACAGCTGCTGGGCCACCATCAGCAGAAGGATAGACACCCAGTTGTATAGGTTCCTCGGCGACTCGTTACATCGCAGGGATTGCAGGGAACACACCTGAATCCTCCAAAATCCTCCTCATGGGCACTGGACTGTTAGAATACCAAAAAACCACTGCCAGGCCGAGATAGGAAAAATGACCGAAACAGGGACCCTGCACTGGCCACAGCTCACTTTCAGAATGCATCCGAAGGAGTCATTTTTCCAATCGAGCGGCTCCAACTTTGTGAGGTAAAGTGGGCCCCTGACGGCATCCGTGAAAGCTTCGCTCGCTCTGCAGAGATTTTTTAAAAGGGCGTGCATGTAAGTCCGCTGCGTGTGCTGGAGGTAGCACAAGTATCCGGCCATTTCCCAAAACTCGTAGAAAAGCTCCTTTTCGGCTTAAAGGGGCCCAAGAAGTCTCCAGGAGACTCCCACTCCGAAGCCTAACCTGCTCCGAAAGTCCCCTGTCAGCAGTCCAGATGGGCGAGGACCGCAAGCAGGCTCCAGCGAAGGCGACGACCCCTGTCAGAGAATGCGGACATCGGCATAGAGCCATAGAGACCACAAACCCCGCCAGAAAGTGTCCGCAGGAGACACCACCTTCCACGTAGGGCGCCGAGCTTCGCAAAAGAAAGCGGAAAGAAAGCCCGCCTCGACGACCAGGTTGCCCAGCGTGATGACCTGATAGAAGACGTAGGTCCAGTAGTAGTACCTCTCAGCCCGCAAGAGTACAAGGATCGAAATCACCCGAGATCACCACTGGCCTGGCCACGTGATCCCACGCATACTGGATAATCGCCTGTGAAGCTTCAAGCACGAGCAACCCGAAATAACCCGAACCTCATGCTCCGGCACCTGTCCAGTGGGCTTGAGTAGAATGTTGTGGTTCTGCGTAAACCTGAGGAAGGGCACAGCTTCCCAGCTTTGGGACTCTTCACAGACGGGAATAGGTGTCCAGACCAAACTACACATGCGATAAGCTTGCAGTCGGCCGCGGACGCAAGAATGCTCATCACATCCGGGTTCATGATGCCAGGAAGCTTCAACTGAGCGGATCATGTTACCTTTGACCGTAACTGTTAACTTCTGCCGTCGGCACTAGGTCACTAGGTTCTACGAACCCGACTCCACGAGATTTCTCTGCTCTTCGGCCTGCCGCACCTTCACAGGAACACTCTCCTTGTCCCGAACGGCAGTCATCACCTTTCGGAGGAGGCAGGGGGCCAGAGGGGCAACCGCTGCAATCTGGCAGCCGCGCCTCAGGCTGGAAGTTCCTGGCGTTCGTCCTTGCATTCGGGAGACAACGCTGCAGATGCTCTGAAATGATGCTAAGGGCCCCGCATGGGAGCATTCAGCAGCTCGGAGACATTCTGCGTACCGAAGAACTGATTGCCTGAGCACGGGCGAGTGCACGGATTCGCTGGCGCCGAACCGCGTAAACCAGACGAGCTTGCGAGCATTTGCCTCGTCTTCGACGCCACCAAAGGAAGGACTGTAGCAGGGACGAAGCTTGCAGCAGACCATTGCGCTCATGCAGCAAGGCGGTTGCAAACATACCCATCTGCTTGTTTGCAGGAGTTGTACCTTGCTCCCATCCACGCCTCTAGCAGCGCGACGCGCTGGTGGAAGGTGTTGCGCTTCCTCAGGTATCTCAGGCACTACGACATGATCCACAGTTTGCGTGCAGAGGATTGCAAGAAGCTTCTTTTCAGACCCTCGTGCATGTGGTTTTAGCCTCAGGGTCGGACGCATAAATGCTCAGCCCACCCGGGCACAACAGCGAATGCCACGGCGCCGCCTGAGTTTTAGACCTATTTTCTTAGGCACAGATTGCCAGGGCTACTGAACTGGTCACTCAGGTCCCGTCCCCAGACTCCCTTAGTGTCCAAAAACTGTACACAGCTTTGTGGTACTTCAGAATTCAGCTCGGGGACTGGTCCCACTCCCAGATTCTCGCACATTCGTATCGACACCTTGAGGGCGCTTCGACTGAGCATGTTACACTGTTACACACTCTTAACTTCCACAAGAGGCAGCGAATCGCGAAGACTGTTGAAGTCCACATGAGGACATCGCACCATCTGCACCCCCGATGGCAGCCTCGCTCGCCTGCAGGAAGGAGTGGAACGTGCCAAGACTACTCCCTTCTTCCTGCGCGCACGCTTGGGGTTTCTCAACAGCCTGGGAATCGGATTGTAGTTGCTGTTCTGCGCTTCTGGGCGCACGGTGAGCACGTCGAGAATTACCTGCAGTGTTCCAGAGAGATTCTGACACCGAGCGGCGCGCAGTGTGCCCTCTCCTCGCCAGCTCCATCAGACCAATGCATGATCTCCATCCAATGTCGTGTGGAGGAGACCTTTGACACTCGAAAAACATCGATCTCGGAGTTCTTTGCTCTACACACTGAGGCTCATTGAGGCACGCTCCAGATCTGTCTCGGCCTGCTTGACCAGGGCCTGGTCAGAAAGGCGGCCTTCTTTGGCTCCCTCCCACTCTGCGCACTCCCAACCTCCGTCCACTCGGGATGAATCCGGCTCTGGCCCTTGTCGTGCATGATCTCCGGCCTCGCGCATCTCTTAAGCTCCCCTACGGGCTCCAGGGCCCGATGTCAGGCGCCCGGCGCCACGGAGGCGCAGAGTTTGCTTACCTCATGAGCATCCACAGCCCACAGCTGCCCACTGCGCAGCCACTGCCGGCGACGGTCTCAACTCATGCCAGTTTGGCCACAAGCAAGTCCTCGAAGGATCTTTCCATCAAGATGAAAAGCTTATCGAACCTGAGTTGCCCTTCTCTTGCACGCTGTAAAAGACACTAGCACTGCAACGAATGGGCCCCCGCCTGTAGCGGCCAGCCTCTACCTCATCCACCGAGGTCTGACACGTGCCAAACCCATGTCGGTCTGTGCACCCTGATGACTTCCGGATGTGACTTTGGCAAAGTTCCAAAGGCCCGCGCAGCAGTAATCACCGGCGTCGCACCCTTGTCGTCCAGCGCCTTCGCAACAGCCCGGAGATTGGAATGATCCGTCTTCGTGGGACCGCATGAGACATGCTGGAGAGATACTGTCTGTCACATCTTCTGGATGCCATTGAAGTTCTCTCGCAGGCTGGCCTTGAGATTGGCGCCATAGTTTTTCAGGAACTGGGACATCCTGGTTTCATGCAGGACGTGGGCCAAATCTCATGGGGATTCCACACGACTTTGACGTTGTATCCCCGATGAGAACAGCTAGAACAGGCAAGTGTCCTGATGTGACCGGAGCAGGCCGCCAAGTGAAGAGGAGACTTCTTCTGGTCAGACGGGCAGGCAGGAGATGAGAAAGCAAGGCAGTTCTACAACTTGGACTGCGGATGGCCTTTAAGTTCTTTGCATTGACATCCGCTTTCTTCACCAGCAAGAAGTAGGCAGCATTCTTTTGACTGTACAGCACCGCCTTCCACTTCGAAGTGTTGTCCGTGGCTGGCATGTGCCATGTTAGAAGGCCTCGTGAAGAGCGCAGTAGTTTCTCACCTGTTTGATCCTGCTGTAGGCCTGCCATGAGACTGCCATGAGAGTCCCGCGAGGTTTTGTTCGGGCATGGCAGCTGTCTCCCTTTTCCAAGACGGGCAGGATGACATGGACGTCTGCGCGGTATCTCAAGAGCAGGTCCATGTGGCCTGCAAAGGCTTGAAAGGCTCGAACCAGTGTTCAGGCACTAGTCAAGGCACGCTGAAGCTGTTGCCGAGCCCTTGACGCACGAAGCCCCTTGCAGCGGCCAGGTGCAACGCCTAAGCGTCAGGGATGTTGTGCTGGATGGTGGTCATATGGCCGAAGACTGTTAGTATAGACACAACTATATAATACTATCTATATATATATAATAGGACAGCGATTTTTTTTTATGCT